TTGGTGATTCTATATATTGTATCCCTCCTTCAAGGTAAAGCGGGCTGCCTCATATAGGGATCCGTGTAAGTATACAATGAGGGTCCTGATGTGAAAGGGTAGGTCTATGCTAGAACTCTATTTGATACTCTCATACTCTTGATATCACATGCAGACTGGAAGTTGCGGTGTTCAAAACCGGGGCGGGGTACGAGAAATGAAGATGCGTAGATCCCGCTTGACAACCTTGCTCTAAACGGGAGCCGTCAGGAAATCGGCGGGCAGATTTCTGCACGCCAAATTTCGCGCCCATCATGCTGGACACGAATTGGCACTGGTCCACGTGGCCTTGGCATGGAAAAGCTTACTGAGACAGAATAAATTTTGGCCTGCACAAGTCCCTTTATATGTAGGCCAAAGGCATATACTATTTTGGCAGTACGGACTGGACCAACCTAAAACCTGCTGGAGCTAGACGCTTTGGTGCATATTCGGAGGTTCGAACTTTCTTCCCGAAGGTTTCGGGTTTAGGGAACATATAGTAGGTTTATCAAGTACAAACCTGCATTAACTACTATCCTTAACCAGAGCAGCTGACTATTGTTTGCTATATGTCCTGGCTATAGATACGCATGCATCGCATTTAGAAGTACGTGTTGAGTGGGCGTGTTCCCGGGGTCCGTTCTGCAGCTTTCTCCATCCCTGAAACATAGGGATAGTTGACAAAATGTTGGTCCCTTTTGGGGTTCCTATTATAATACGGCACCTAGTATTTAGGGTACCAAACAGGGACCATAATTTTGACAACTACCATAGAACATCTTGTGTCGGAATCCTTTTGCCCCCCAGGTCCGGTTTATGTAATACTATATAGGCACATGGACCCTCAGGGTAAGCGAGTTCGTCTTGATGTCAGAAGTATAGGACCCAAAGCCCTGAAACCCTGAACAACGGGACACAACAAACAACATATAGTACCCGAAATAGTAGGATCCCTTTTAAAAGGATCCCAAAGTAAGGTACCTTTAATGTCCTGACACTCCCATGTGCCCTCAGATACTCAATGGCAGTTCGGTGTGCAACACGGAGCCAAACTCAGCCTATCCCTCTGTAGGTCGAGCTGGTTGCCCTACGACCTTCGCCGTCTCCTAGCAGCAAGTGTCAACCGACAGCTTCCCTCAAACCCTTAAATCTAAACCCTAGACCCTAAATCCTAAACCCTTGACCATGAACATATCTGGGTTAAGTCGAACGAAGGGACTCCCGCTTACGTAGTTCTGTTGCGATCAGGATTTCTGGGGCTTGATCTTGCGGACCATCATGCTTCTGAACTCTTCAACTTGGGCATCTATAAGAGGAGTAAAGGACTACCTTAGAGATTATACGTGTTTCGGTGCTTCTTAATCTTGAAACTCCACAAAGACCAGGAGTCAACGTGACTCCTTAGAGTTAGAGTCTGAGGGGACTCGACAAACCCCGCTCTTGAAATGCCTTTGAGGCCCCGAACAAGCCTACGTACAGGGTTTTCAGAAAGCACTTACAAGCGGCAATGGCTGGCATTGCTCCTTAATGGCATGTTCAATTTTGCCATCTAGGTTTCTTGGAAAGTCGGAAGGGTTTCCAAAAAGCCTCGGGGAGGTGTTGTATGTAGCCTTAACTGAGGGTTCTGATTTTAGTGTGGAATTATTCCAGCAACAGGATCATTTTTTTCTGATCTGTGCAAGTAGTGTGTAGAGCCCACAGCGGCGGGGCGTTTGAGGCCGCAAATGCTATGCTCTGAATGGGTTTGGGATCGAAATCCTCATTCCCAAACCCTGCAACCCTAAACCCTTCGATTAATCCTAACTTCTTGATTCTAAGTCTCAACCCCTAATACCCTATAACCCCAAAAGTCTTGTGGGCAATGGCTCCATAAACCCATGTTTTGACCCTAAACCCTAAACCCCACAACCCTAAACACCTAAAATCTAAACCCCTAAACCCTGAGCCCCTCAACCCTACACCCCTAAACCCTAAATCCCAAACCCTAATCCCTAAACCGTGGGTGTTTGAATGATGTCGGGTTTCGCTTGTTTCTGCAGTGCTTGAGGTTTCCCCCAGGACCCAAAGGACCCAATAAGGTCCTTTTATAGAGTTCTATAATGATACTATAAGGGTACTACAAGGGTCCCTTTGAGGGTTTTCTAAGAGTTCTATAAGGGTACCAAAATAATTAGTTACTCGGTTTTAGGCTAGTAGATATGTAGGTTCGCATCTTGGAGAGTTATATACTTACCCCAAGGGTCCAAAGGACCCGATAACTAGGTACTGGGTTTTAGGATAGTAGTTATGTAGGTTAGGATGTTGGAGAGTGTATGATAATAAGATACTTGGACCCTTATATAGGGTTTTGAATTAAAGCCCCAAGCTGTCTTAAGTACCTATATGAGGGAGACTGACCCAAACTTAATGTTAATTCCTACTGTAGCAACCCTGCTTTCTACTATATTTTCGGTAGTTAACATGGTAATACTATGTGGTATCCATGAACCTCCTGACTCCTTGCACAACAGCGCAACCTGAAGCTTCAAGACGCGAGTGCCTCCTCCCTGAAGAGTTTTAACCTGTGACCCCAAACCCTACAAAATAGTATTAGAGGGTCTAACCCTAAGAACGGTAGGTTTTTGGATTCACAGGAATGACTTCAACGACTGCACCCCGAAGTCCCGAACCCGCATAGATCTTGCGTCATCCCGATGAAACCTCGGTGAACCAGCAACTTGGGCGGTGCCGCGTGTCCAGTTCCGCTACTCATACTGGTATAGTAAGTCCCGCCACGAGGCCCCGGGTGCAACGCAGAGACCCCAAACCCTATACCTGAACCCTAGTCCTAGTCCTAGACTCCCATACCATGTAACCCGTAAACCCTTAACCCCTAAACTTCCTAACCCACGAAGCCCGGAGAAAGCCCCGCAAGACCCTTAAAAGAACCCGTTAAGGAAGCCTCATCAGCATACTTGAAGGAACCCTTAATGGGATCCTTCAAGCAATCCTTAACGGTATCCTACCCCAAAGGGTCGTAGGTATTGTTATGGGGAAAACTTGCCCGAATCATAATGCTAATTCCTAATATAGAAACCCGGCAGTCTCCTATCTCGCTACTTTGGACCCTTTGGGTACAAGGAGCGAACCCCTACAAGAGCACTTTAAGGGATTCCCCAGAGGATGCTCCTCTACTTGGAGGATCATGGGACTTAGTAAGTAAGGTTATAAGTACCCTAATTGGAGTTAGAAGTATAGTTACCTTATTTATAGCCCTAGTTACTAAGTCCCATGATCCTCCAAGTACAGTCCCGCATGATTTTCCTCGGCAGAGGCTCCGTTTGCTTCGGCGCTCGCATACACCCGCCGGGAGTGAGCCTTGCCGTCACTCGCTGTGCCTCGGCGGCCCGATATTGGAGCCTCAGTGTTTGGACTAGGGTTTCTATAAACATGACCTCAATGTGTGGACTAGGGTTTCTATAAACATGACCTCAATGTGTGGACTAGGGTTCCTATAAACATGGCCTCAATGTGTGGACTAGGGCTCCTATAAACATGGCCTCAATGTTTGGACTAGGGTTCCTATATAAACATGGCCTCAATGTTCGGACTAGGGTTCCTATATACATGTCCTCAATGCGTGGACTAGGGTTCCTATAAACATGGCCTCGATGTTTGGACTAGGTTTCCTATAAAGATTTATGAAGGTTTACAAGAGTGTTTTCATAGAGGCTTAAAGGGATACTGATCATGAAAGCAAAAACCTTTTGGGCGAATCATCGTGCGTTTGCTTCGGGACTGTGAAGGGGTACTAGTACGTACTTACTACTCCGACCTTGGCATTAGCCGGGGTCCTCTAGCGTGCTTATATAGGGCTCAGGATCTCTATATTGGGTTCTACGGAATCTTTAACAAGTTTCATGTCTTTTACAGGTGATGTATCCGGAGACTCCCAAAACCCCGAAATAGGGAGGAGCAGACCTTGAGATGGTTTGAGGTAGGTTGCTTCGTTATGGGGCTTTGCAGTCTCGGGGTAGGCTGCATGTGGTGCTTAGGGTCTTGAAAGGTCCCCAGGTGGTTGTGCATAAAAGTCGCCATCTCCGCTATGGCTAAACCTAAATACTCCCAAAGGTTAACTTTTAGTTCCCCAAGATACTCGACAAGTGAGCCTAAATCCTCTGAACTACAGCCCTAAACCCTAAACCCTAACAAGCCCTAAAACCCTAAACCATAAACGGTAAACCAGAAGCTATCCGCATTGTTGCGCTTATGCGGGCTCCGAAGCCAGGGCGATCTTAAAACCTTAAACCCGAGTCCCGAGACCCTAAAAGCCAAGTGGCTTAAGGGGTTTGGAGGGCATGCGTGGACGAGGAGCCTTGCTGTGCGGTTTAGTGAAGTTGAGTGATTGGGGCTTGGGCCTTTCATGGTTTGGATTTTGTGTGCCGGGTTTCCCTAAACCCTAAACCCTAAACCCAAGGCTTCGCTTTCGAAATTGGATGGCTGAAGTTTTTGCGGGTATTAGTATAGGTTTTAGGGTTGCAAGTCTATCCAAGGGGAAAAGGAGGGACCCTTAATGGGGACCCCTACCCTATAATGGGTTATATCATGGGCATGTAATGTCTATATCAAGGGTATATACCTAGGGGTCCTTATTAAGGGTCCCTCCTTCTACCCTTTGAGTCTAGGGGGGTTCGGCCTGTTTTAGGGGAGGGTACGGGCTTCAACATGAGGACATAATAAGGAGCTCTTACATTCCAGAACACCCTTTTGGTCCTAGACCCTAAGCAGCCGCCACATATCGTTTTGTCTCCCGACCACATCCGAAACCCTCCACGAGGACCCAAAGTAGGCCCTTATTCCCTTTTTTAGGCTTTAGGTTCTCTTGTAACACCCTTTAACCTTGATAGTACCCTTCAAAAGGCCCCCTAAACCTCCTAGGTAACTCTTGGTAATCCCAAACCCTCCAGCATAAACCCTGACTCGGAGGCGAGCACAAAGGCATGGGGATCAAGCGCAGCAGCAAGTCCACCGAGTGGTCTCTGACAGGCAGTATTGTAGGGGCCTGAATAATTGGAATAGGGTTTGGGGGATGTTATACTATACTTGCAATCAGGAACCACCAAAACCCTATTCTAATTATTACGGCCCTTTCATTACATGCAGGGTTCTTGATGCTCGGGTCTTGATTGTGTTGTTTGCATGGATTGTACACTTCTTCAAGGTTCAAGAAGCTAACAATAACAACCAGATAATTAGCATTGTGGGCGGAGGCGGGGGGGTGTTGGTTCCATCAAGGCCCATCTAATAGAACCCGATGGTATATGGTGTAGGTTAGGTGCAGAGTTTTCTGTCAGGTGTGCTTCTTACTCGATGTTTAGACGGTTGCTGGTGTTGCAAGACCACTCTTGTCATTGTCATGGGCAGGATCATGTCTATACGGAAGTCCATCTCTCAAAATTCCGGGTGTTAGTCTGGAGATTTCAAGCATTCTCATTGTGAAGATGACGATGGTGGTAAGCAGGTGGGAGGAGGAGGAGGAGGAGGAGGAGGAGGAGGAGGAGGAGGAGGAGGAGGAGGAGGAGGAGGAGGAGGAGGAGGAGGAGGGTCACGTGTTTTAATGGTACCTATGTATAAAGGATGTTCGTTCTAGCTGGGCGCTTTGGGTCTTTTTCGGCTGACCCGCTCCAGCTAATTGCGAACGTCCGCCTCTAAATACAGAGCAGTACACCACGAGACCCACACACTGCACCAGAAATGTACTTTCAGGATTCAATCCTGCAGGCTTATGGCCTTAAGATTTTAGGATCAACCCTGAGAGTAGCTTATCGACTGTGAAAGATACGGGTCAGACTAAACAAACACCGTAACCTGGTCTGTGTCGCGAGCAAGGAAACAAGTCCCCTACCTAAACTGCGCCCCAGCAAAGGAACATGGGGATTTTGTCAGCAGGTGTTCATTACAAGGTTTTGATCATGACTGGGACCGGCCCACTTGGGATACATGTATGCTCTTATTCTCTGAGTTTGGCTTTGGATCCTTTAGTACTTTGGAAGTACAGTGAAAACGCTATACAAGCACCCCGCTGGGCAAGAGTAGGGTAATTCCCCTGGCGGTCTCAATCTCGGTTTGCATTAGATATCACATCTGACCAAATTTATGGGCGTCCTTGTGTGGAGCACAATGTGCGTGCCTTGAGCCATGTGGCCGTGGTATTCATGAGGGCGTCCCACCAGGACATCATGGACCCCAAAAGGACATAAGCATAAGCATTTTATAGGGAGATTCCTACGTTATTGGGCTTCGTTATAAGGGTGTTTATCTTGGATATCCGTATCCTCATTTTTGCTCACCAGGGGTTAGTACTAGGGATCCTTCAACACTCTCTGGAAACCACTGGCCAGTGCCCTAAACCCTAAACCCTAAACCCCTAAACCCCTAAACCCCCTAAACCCTAAACCCTAAACCCCTAAACCCCCTAAACCCTAAACCCTAAACCCTACATAAACCCTAAACCGTAGTGGCTTGTTCTCCGCAAAGAGTTGCGAGTCCTCCTGGAGCCTGAGCTTCGCCAGGCCCCGAAGGGCCCCTCAGCCCTTAGGCCCTAAACCCCGAACCCTGACACCCTAAGGTTTAGGGTTTAGGGTTTTGGGTTTAAGGTTTAGGGTTTAGGGTTTAGGGTTTAGGGGTTTAAGGTTTAGGGTTTTGGGTTTAAGGTTTAGGGTTTAGGGGTTTAGGGTTTAAGGTTTAGGGTTTAGGGTTTAGGGTTTAGGGTTTAGGGTTTAAGGTTTAGGGTTTAGGGTTTAGGGTTTAAGGTTTAGGGTTTAGGGTTTTAGGGTTTAGGGTTTAGGGTGTTTTAAACCGACACCCTAAATCCAAAATCCAAAAGCCCTAAACCCTAAAGGCCTTGGAAGGGCTCCCACCTTGCCACCCTAAACCCTAAACCCTGAGGGTCTTTGGGAGAATCGGGACTCAAGCCTGAACTCCACAGAGCTGGGAGGCCCTGAATAGGCTTTAAGGTTACCGTTTAGGGCGCCCCAACTACCCTCTGTTATAGCCCAAATACCGACCATAAGGGCTCCATTTAAGGGTACTTGTGGGGTCCTGGTAGGCCCCTTGTAACCATCAAGCCCTGCAGACCCTAAGCCCGTGCTGTGAAGGCGTCGCTTACCTCATAAGCCACTACAATGCCACTTGGCGATTGGTTCTTTCGAGGCCTCCCTGTAGGGTTAGCATAGAGTGTCATTGGGTTTTATAGGGTCGTGTTTTTTCCATTAAAAAGTCCGTGAACCTGTATTGCTACAAGGGTTAGAAACCCAAGAGCCCCATTCTAACGATTACCCAGATCCTTGGGCCCTTGGGGAGGATCTGGAAAGTCGATCCCCTCATTTCGACTAAGGGTACTTTACACGAACCCCATGGCGGGATCTACTTTTTTTTTGAGACTCCCGGGAATTCCGGCCGGGGGTACTGGGTATGGAGGCGATTCTCCTCACCTAAACAGGGGACCTCTTCAGGCCCCTGGGCCCTCAAACTCCTACGGTTGATGATACAAATCCTGCATTACCCATACTAAGGAACATACCATAATTTCCATGGTTTAGGGTCATTAAGGTAGTGCAGGATTTATATCATCAACCGTATTATAGGCCCCATAGAGCCCTTACGTTCGGATTGGTTTAGGGTTTAGGGTTCCCCTCAGGGTCCAAGTACCCAAATAGTAGGGTTTCAAGGTCCAAAAACCATTCAGAGTACGGATTTTGGGCCCCAAAACCCTAGTATTTGGGTACTTGGACCCTCTGGGTTCATTTTAAAGAGCCCTAGCGGGAACGTGATTCTCATCACCTTGAGGCCTCCTTGGGGCTTTGGGAACTCATTTTCTCGGGGATCCTCGACCTTCCAAAATCCCTCAATTGAAACGCTGCGCGTCGTCCGCCTCGGCCCGGCTGTACGCGCATGCGGCGAGTGGCTACTATCTGCAGTAGGGTTAGAATTTCAGGTTTGAAACTCGCTTGGTACTGCAGCCTTAAAAAGGCGAGCCCCAACACATAAAGATGCTACATTGCAGTCCCGTGTCGTCCAAAACTCCACAAAACTCGCACCTCTCAGCGAGCGGAGGAGGGGCGGGAGGGAAGGGGGGAGGGGCCGGGGGGGCGGGGGGGGGGGGGGGGGGGGGAGGGGGGAGGGGGGAAGGTTGGGGACAGAAAGCCAAAATCCACTGGAAAAGGCAAAAATTCACCGCCGGACCTTGGGGCTCATCGACACGTTGGGGGGTGGGGGGTGGCGCGGATTTTGGGGGTGGGGTCACTGGGGAGGGGATTAAGAGGTGGGGAATAGAGGAAATCCGAATAGGAACCTCTGACCGCTTCGGCCGGGGCCGGGGCGAACTAAGGAATATACCTTAACTCATATTAGGGATCCTATTATGCTTTAAGGTATATTCCTTAATTAAAGGATTTTGGAAGGTCTGGGTATCCTCGACTTTTCACGTGGTTGCCGGTTGCCTGGGCTGCGGAGATGTCGGGGGATGGTATGGAGCCAAACAGTCATGTGTATTGTGGGTCCTTAGGGTTCCTTAAAAGGGATCTATAAGGCCTCTATGGGGTTCCTTTAAGGGATCTATATGGTGGATGTGTGTTGAGGGTGTTGGTGTGGTGGGGTTACAGGAGAAGCTAGAAAGTTGGAACATCATTCTCCTCATACCCTTAAAGTAAAGTATAGGGAATCCCCGCACTAATCATCCTACATCCATGTTCCAACTTTTGGGGGTTCACTATAGGGGTTTAGGGATAAAGGGTTTTCAGGCGACGAGACCATAAAGCCAGAACTCTGAAGCCCAAAATGCTGCAAGCAGTAAGCCCCTAACGCTGATCCCGAAGCTCCCAGAAGCGACAGTGCCAAGGGACAAAAGCCCCAAGCCCAACCCACGAGCCCTGCGGTTTAGCAGTGAAGGTGTCGGACTTAGAGGTTGAGGGTTTAGGGTCTTCCAGCCCAGAACCTCAAAAACCCGAAACTCCCCCCATGTACTGCAAAGCACAGGTATGGGGCACCGGCGACGGCGACATGACACATTCCTGGTTCGGTGGCGGCCGCGAACTCAGTTAGTTTAGGCCTTGGCGATTTGGGGCGGGTAAAGTTACATGTTACATGGGTATTGCCAGGCCTATTTTCAGGTTTTCGAAGAGGCTTACTTCCATCGGTTTGCAAGGTTTGTGTAAGGTGCTTGGCGATTCTTTGTTTAGGGTTATGGGCTGTGGCTGTAGGGCTTCGGGCTTTGTCACTTCTGCTGTGGTGATCCTTCTCCAAACCCTGTCCCCAGGGGTCCAAGTACCTTATTATCATATACTCTCCAAAATCCTAACCCACATAACTATCCCAAAACCGAATACCTACTTATTGGGTCCTTTGGACCCCTGGGTCTTTCTTGTTTTATGAGGGAAGGGGGGAGGTGCTGTGGTTGCGGGTTCAGGGCTCTAAAACCTACCCCAAGGGTCCAGGTATCTCCTTAGGAGGGTCCGGAATCTCCTAGCCCTAAGGCTCCATGTACCCCTATAGTAGATACTTAGGCCTTAAAGTGGTCCCTATATGGCTACTTTCAGGCCTAAGTACCTACTATATGGGCACATGGAGCCTTAGGGTAGGTCCTGGGGAGAGTCCCGGGGTCTCAGAAACGCTCAATTTTGAGGTTCCAATTTGTTAGGACCCTTTAGGGTAAACCACTACAAAGCAAAGTCCGCACGCACACCCTTACGTTCGACACCACACAAAGCCGAGGCTTTCCTGAAGCGTATAGGGTTCGGGGTTTAGAGTTTAGGGTTTAGGGTTGCCTTTTAGGGTTTAGGGTTCAGGGTTTAGGGCTCAAACCAGAGCCGCGAGAACAAGTTGGAGAGCTGTGAATTGACTTGCCTTCTCCTTTCTAGGTACCGCCGAGCTGCGGGTGCCCACAAGCCCTGAATCCTACCCCTACCCCTGAAGCATTCCCAGGGCAGGTTTTGATGCTTACGATCTAGGAGTACATGATTTTGGCTTTAGCGTTGTGGGTTTGGTCTCTTCCAGTCCCCAAACCCTAAACCCTAAACCCTAACCCACGCGCGTCTCGAAGCTGTGTGTGAGAAGGAGACAACTGGGGCAGCAAGGCGCAACGACGCGCCCAATCGGTGCAGGGTCGGGTGTGGGTGTAAGGTTCCGGGCTGTTAAGGTTTGCCTGAACCCCGTGAAAGCTACCTGTCCAGGGTTCCTTAGTGTGATATCCTTTTACAAGTTCAGAAAAAGGTAGGTTATTTATTTGGGGTTGGGTTTCGGGCTTTGGGTTAAGGGCTTCGGGTCATGGGATCTTGGATGTAAGCTTGCAGGGGCCCCAGCTTTTTGGTCCTCCTCTGTGTAATTGCAGAATGCGATATATAGAGACTGGCATAATTTGGGTAGTGCTCTCTAGGGTTCCGCTTGAAGCCATATTCTAATGATGAAGATCCTTAATTAACATATGTCCATGAAGCCTGCTCGAAGTACCTTGGGGTGGGGCATTTGGGGCCGCAAGCAGGTGGATTCTATTCATGAAGCCCTGACACCACAAACCGTCAACGCCCACAACCCTGAATATAAAAGCCACACAACCTGCAGGCCGTGACATCTGAGCAATCTAAGCCCTAAACCCATACAGGAACCCCGTAAAACAACCAAGTACACAATTTGTGGCTACATGCCTAAAGTCCTGTTACTCCATGTCGTTCTAAGTCGTACAGAACCCGATAGAACCCCCATCGAACCCCAATCCCTGAAAGAGCCTTTATGGTTATGGATCCACATGCGAGCTCTTATACAACCTACATGTACGCAACCCCAAACTCCAAACACTGAAAGAGGCCTGTAGAATCCACCTGGACCCTAAACCCTAAATCCTAAACCCTAAGCCCGAATCCCTAAACCCTACAAAGATCCCTAAACCCTAAACCCCTAAACCCTAAACCCGAACCCCTAAACCCTACAAAGAGCCTTCGTGGGAACCCACTCGGGATCGTTTCGGCTGCTTGCCAGGCCATGTCCACTGGATGGCCCAACTTTCTCGCAGCTGATCCAGGCCAGGGTCTCCGGTTTCAGGCCTCAGGGCTCTAGAGGTTGAGGGGTTTAGGGGTGTAGGGGTTTAGGGGTTTAGGGTGTAGGGGTTTTGGGGTTTAGGGGTTTAGCGGTTTAGGGGTTGAGGGTGTTTATGGGTTGAGGGGTTTAGGACTGAGGGGTTTAGGGGTTTGCTGTAAAGTTCGGGGGTCAGGGGGGTTTCTGCCTGGCTCTTGGATACAGTTGATGCCCAAAACACTCACCTTCTGTGAGTCCTTTCGAGGTGTAGGATCCAGGGTGTCAGGGTTTCGGGCATTTCGAGGGCATGTGTCAAAGTGCCTTTAGTGGTTCAAGCACATCGAAGTATTCGAGATCAAGGGTTTCAGGGTCATATGGAAGCTGGTCGGGATTCGTTCGGGTTTAGAGGTTGAGGATGTAGTCGGTTTTTTTGAGCCTTGGCGGTTCAGGGTAGGCTTGCAAGCTCTAGGGTTTGTGGCTTGCAACATCATTAGGTGCAGGGTGCTAAAGTTAAACCAGAGCAGATTCGCCGCACCCTTTTTAGGATAGTTGTCTCGGTTTTAGGTGGTTCGGGTTTTGTGTCATTTCATCCTTCGGCCCCGCACGCTACACCTCACATCCGAAGCTCTATGGTAGAAGCCAGAAAGTTGGAACATTAGTATCCTCAGGCCCCTAGAGTAACGTATAAGGGGTCCTAGCACTAATCCTCCTAAACCCATGTTCCAACTTTCTGGCTTCTCCTGTAAATCTAGATGACAGCTCAATCGGGCCACCCAAAACCTAAGCTTCAGATACTTGTCGCTCAGCTAAACCCTAAACCACAAACCCGAAACCTACACGGATTTAGGCTCTAGGTTTAAGGGTACCCTAAACCCTAAACCCTAGGCTTAAGGTCAAGGGTTTCGGTTTTGAGGATTCTCAAAAATACACTCACTCAGGTACCTGGGCTTCCTCGTCGGCGGGTGGCGGTCGCTTGGACAACGGGTTTAGCAAGCTAAATACAGTGAAAATCTCATCGTTCCGGCACAACCCGACGGGTCCAAAGGACCCATAAATTAGGTACTCGGTTTTGGGATAGTAGTTATGTAGGTTAGGAGCTTGGAGAGTGTTTCTGTATTGGGTACTTGGAACCTTAGGGTAATGACAGTGAAACTGTCATAGAATTTCGAAAGGCCACTTCGAGGGTTGGCCTATGGAGAAAAGCTTGACTCTCAATGCGCCTGGCTAATGAAGGATCATGGGACTTAGTAACTAGGGTTATAAATAAGGTAACTATACTTATACTTATAACTCCAATTCGGGAACTTATAACCTTACTTACTAAGTCCCATGATCCTCCAAGTAGTACCCTGAACCCTAAACCCTATAGATCCCTTTAAGGAGCCCTATAGATCCCTTTAAAAGGAGCCCTTTAAGAACCCTTACTAAGTCCCATGATCCTCCGAGTAATGAAGGAGCTGAACCGTGTATCTGAATTGAGAGGGTTCTCAAAGGCTCCATGTACCCATACCGTTGGTGCTTAGGCCTTAAAGTCTGGGCTTTGGAGTACCATACTTTAATACTTTTTATAAAATAAAAGGTTATACTTGTTTCTCCCGGGTTACTTAAAAGCCCAGAAGTACCTATATAGGGAGCCCTCTAAGGCCTAAGTACCTACTATATAGGCACATGGAGTCTTAAGGGGGTTAGGATTCTGTGAGTCCATGTTTCCGCCTTAAGCTTGACTAAAGCTGATCAGCTAGCCTAAGTCGTCAAGCTGAAACCTCAAGCCTGTAAGTGCGAACCCTTAAACTCAAACTAAAACGATTGAAAGAGCACGCTATGTAACCAGTGACCTGCTTCGCAACCCACGGCCCAATTGTGCACCCTTCCAGCTTCCAATCCAAAGCCCTAAAGCCTAACCCTAAACCCTAAACCCTAAACCCTGAACCGGCAACCCCTCAACCCTGAAAGTCTTAAGCTTGCTCCAAGCGCACTGTAGCACCAAAGACCGCAGCCAATGAACAACAAAACTGCTCCACCATATAGATCCCTTAAAGGCACCCTATAGAGGCCTTATAGATCCCTTGAAAGGAACCCTAAGAACCCAAAAAGGGCCCCTAAATCGCTCTTTCCTAAATCGTTACAGCTCCAAGCCATACCTGGGCCCAAAGAACCTACCCTTTTTAGGGCTTCTTCTCATGACTTCTTTATCCCTGTCTTTAAAGAAAAGGTATGAGTTTTTCGGGGTTAGTTAAGGTAACGCCTTGCAACTCCAAGGACACCTGCAGAGCTAAGGCTCCTTTTTACGATCTCCTTCCATACTTGGAGGATCATGGGACTTAGTAAGTGAGGGTATAAGTACCCTAATTGGAGTTATAAGTATAGTTACCTTATTTATAGCCCTAGTTACTAAGTCCCATAATCCTCCAAGTAATATGGGTGGTTGTCAAAGTTAGGGTCCCTTTTTGGGTACCCCAAATAATAGGTGCCGTCTTATAATAGGGGGTAGGCTATGTGGGTTGAGGTATAGCCCCAAACCCTAAACGCTGTACCGTATAGCCTACAGTAGAACCCAAAAGTTGGAAACCCAATAGCCTCAATCCTTAAGAGTAATGTATAGTGAATCCCGGCACTATTTGGCCTTTATCCGGTTTCCAACTTTCTGGGGTCTACTGTATAGCCTATCAAGACCAAGGATACCTACAGACCGGCAATCTCATGAGCTCCCCTTCGACCTTTTGGTTCTCCCTGGTGGCGGAAGTTCTCTCCGCCTTATCTTTGTCAGAGGACAGGGGGAGGGCTTGGGGGTGTAGGGTTTAGGGGTCTGAGGTAGGGTTTCGGATTTAGGGCTTAGGGTTTAGGGTTTAGGGCTTAGGGGTTAATGCTGCTTAGAAGTGTACTTTAGAAGCCTGAATATTTCGCAGGTTTTTCGGATTTATGGTCCAGGGTTACTACGTAGTGCTCTGCATTTATGGGCTCCTATTGCAACTATATTCTACAAGACGCGAAGCCGCAGACTGAGATGGCTGCCTTGGGTCATGGCAGGACATAAGACCCGGTTTAGGGAGGTTGAAGGTGCAGGGCTGAGTTCTTTGGTCTTTAGGGTTCAGGCTTATGCGGTTTCAGAGGCTTAGAGTCTTAGTCTGTTTGGTGTTGGGGCTTAGGCTGTTAAGTCTTTAGGATTCTGTACACGAGGCGCAAGAGACATGCCTTTTTCAGGAAATATGTTTCGAAGCCACAAGAAGGAACCCTGAAAAGGTCGGTTTTTCTCTGCTACAGGTGGGTCCCGGAACAAGTCCTTCAGGCTGTTAACGACGAGAACACCACCACCACAAAGGCGACCGTGAAGGGGGTGATGGTGTCTGCAGAACCCTAGCTGCAAGCTGAGTCTCAGCGGTGCGCCATTGAAAGTTCAAAACGCCAAGGCAAGCCTACAATCCCGAGTTCTAAGCGCAAAGCCTACTCATTACGGGTGTAGGGTGTGGGATTGTCACAAAGCCTACTTCTAAGCTTTGAGCCGTGTCCAAACCGCTGGTGTTACCCAGCAGCACTGCTGCTGATGTCGGCACAATGTTTGCAACAAGGAGTTTACTACTTGGGGGATCCCGTTTGAGCTCAAAAAACCCTGCAAGACTCTAGAAGAACCCTTGTCAACCATCTGTGCAATCTTGAGTTGCCTGCCATGATAGTAGCTTCGCCGCTTACAAGTGTCTAGGACCCAGAGTAGGCCCTTATTCCTTGTTTTTTCTTTAGGTTTAGGTTCCCTTATAACCCCGGTTAAGCCCAGAAGGGCACCCTTTTTATTCCTAGCTTACTCTTGGGTCTAGGTGTCGTAGCACAGGCAAGCGCGAAGCCTCTTAACAGTCCTTGGTAGCTGCGTTGTGGATAACCTTTGAGCCTTAAGGGTTTATACGTATACACCCTGAACCGCTAAACCCTTGTTTAGGGTTTTTAGGTGTACGCTTCAGGGTTTAGCGCTTCGGGCGTGTTATGGGGGTTTGGGGATTATTTATGGTTTGAGGTATTGGGTTTTCGTCTGTACCAGGGATGGATGGCTCTAGTCCTGGGCCTACGCCCCCAACCCTGAACTGCTCAGTCAGAAATTTTGCGCACTAGGCTTTGCCTTGTATCTGTATATGTATATATACGTTGCTATTTAGGGTTGAGGAGCTTGTTGTTTGAGCGTAGCATAGTTTCACTCAAAACTAGTATTTGGGGAGCATATCATAGTTGCGTACATGAGCCTGTAGGATTCCATGCAGTGCAGTTCCTGTTCTGCTTACCGCAAAAACAGAATTGTTTTAGATAAAACCACTAAACAGCTCGACCCTCTTGTTAGCCGCCCTAAACCCCAAACCCTAAACTCTAAACCCCACCCCCCGCCGCCGGAAGGCAGAAGGTGGGGGTGAGGAGCGCCCCGGCCCCTCAGCCACAGCTAAGGCCACGATCATCTGGAAGTTGCTACAGCGTCGCTCTTTCCAGTTGGTCTTTGTTTTTAATCTGGGATGATATAAACCACCTTATCCGCGGGGCAACAGTTTCCTGCAAAACGCATCAGTATGGATGTTACACTCTTAGGTCGTTTGTGTCTAGAGTTTGGAGCTCTGTGGCAGCATTTAAGCCTTGGGTCGCGAAAGTAACTCCTTACTCGGTTGTCTAACTCAAGTTTAGTATTCTGTAGGTTCAGGGGTTTGGGGTCTAGCGTTTGATTTAAGGTTTCGTCAGGGTTCTAGTTCAGCCAGATGAGTGACGGTGAGTAGAATCATGTGTTGTTAGGGCTTGCTGATAGACTGCCCGGAAATGTCTGTTTCTTCAGAATCCACAATGTTGGTAGTTCTCTGAATTAGGGTCCTTTTTAGGGGGCTCTTGTTATAAGGGTGCTGTACTGCTTTGGGTGCCAAACAGGGGGACCTTATATACTTCAGAGAGCTGCCCACGTACAGTTCAGGGTTTACGGTTCAGGGAGCTTCCTAAATTGCAGTGCATACTGTGAGTTTCACACTCAACTGATTAATCTCCAGCCTTTACCAAAGCGCCAAAGTATACAACAGCCCAAACCATAATATAGGGGCCGGAAGAGTTACTAGTATCCGTGAGGGTTCGTCAATGCAAGCAAGCTATGAATCTTCCCGATCTCGCCAAGACCCTGTCCTGACTATTAATTGCTATACCGACAGTCCCCAAAATCCTTACCAAACCTTCTACAACCCAAAAGCGAAAACACAAACACAACACGAAAGCAAATAACACATTCTTGCCTGAAGCGGCTGAAGCGTTCTGATATCTGAGGCTATGCCGTGATTCCTTCGCTTTGGGACCTGATGGCTCCTCGGGAGAACGCTTTACTTACCTTTGGTTAGTAGGGAATGGAGGAATGGGGTACAACTAGAACTACTATTACTACCATTCTGCCATTCCCTACTAACCAAAGGTAAGTTCAGGTTTAGCTTCTGGGTTTTTGAAGCTTGGAGTTTTAGTGTTGCCCGCTTTTCTGTTTAGAGGCGCGTAGCTACCTCAAAATGGCCTGAAAGCCTCTCATAATGTGGTCTTTTGTGGTCTTTAGGCCCAAAAGCCTCGGAATATGAGTCCTTAGAGCCTTAGGGTTATGGATCCCCTTAAAGGCATCCTTAGAGGCCCCTGATAGATCCCTTTAAGATCCCTTTAAATGAGTCCTTAGAGCCTTAGGGATAGAGATTTGTGGGAGATCTGTTTGACTTTAAACTGATTTGAGGGATTTGGGTTGTTATAGCCCTACCCGGAGCCTCCAAAACCCCTTGTATTAAGGAGGATAGCTTAAATCGTATTAGGGGTCGTTTTACAACTTCAGGTATATTCCTTAATTGGGGGGTTTTGGAGTCTCTGGGTAAGCCCCAAACCCTAAACCCAAAGCTGCCTATCAAGCTCAAAGGATTCAATGAATGCACTTGCGAGGTTTCAGCAGGGACCGTGCTCAAGACCTTTGGACGCTTGGCGCATCGCTTTCGCGCAGCCACGATAAAACCTGGCTCGGGGTTAGGACGTGCAGCTACCCAAAGGCCTCAAAGTAGTTCCTTGTTCAGGTTCATTTTCAGAATTCTTTGAGGTACTCCCAAAAAGGAACTACTATGGGGCCTATGGGTAGTGGGTTGTTGGGGACCTTAAACCCTGAACCCTCAATCCTAATCCCTAGAACCATTGTTAACGAAGCCCCAAGCATTCTAAATCATAGGAGGCCAAAAGGGGTTTAAGCCTGTGGGGGTTTGGTAGGGATTAGGGTTCCTATAATAGGGTTCATATTAAGGAATCCCTACCCCAAGAATCTTAAACCCCCCCTTTTGGCTTCCCATCATCTAAAGCCCCTATACGCACACCACGTTTTCTAGTAGTGGGAAATCTTTCCGGGTTTAGACTTTGTTTGAGTTCAGGATTTACGGTTAGAGTTTAGGGTTTAAGGTAAAAGTTTAGGGTTAGGGTTGCGGGTTTAGGGTTAATTTCAGTTTAGTTGGGGCTTAACCATAAAGTTTATGGGCCTAATTCTGCCCCATCGAGTAACTTCTTGCTTCTTCGGGTATTTCGGATGCTTCGAACCTTTGTACTCAGAGCTGGTGAACTCTATCCCTCTGCTTCCAGGGACCTAGTTTGGGCCCCAGACCTTAAACCCTAAACCCTAAACCCAAAACCTTAAGGACGCAAACCCTACGCCCTCCAATCGACCCTAAGCCCTCAAACCTAGACCTTAAACCAAAATTAACCCTAAACCCTAAATCCCTAAACCCTAAACCCTCCAATAGTAAGGTCCCTGCAAGCATAAGGCATGGGTTTCGAAGCCACTGAGTTCAGGGCAGGGTTGAATATGGAATATAGGGGACCTTGATCTTGGAATAGGTTTGTAATATATTCTAGTATAACTATATAGAGTACATATATGTATTATATGTATGTATATATATATAGTAGATCTAAGCGTGCATGCAGTATGTACGTATGTATGTAGGTAGGTATGCATGCATGCATGGATGGGTGGATGGCATGGATGGACGTGTATGTGATGATACAAATGTATCACATGCTCATATACCTTTAGCATGCATATACTCCTTATATGAACCTTACTATTTTGAGGTTATAGGCCCAGGGTTTCTTAATCAGGTCCCTACATTAAACCTTGAGCCTTCCCGAACATCCAAGTGCGCTGCTGAGGAGATATTGGGCTCAAGAACTTGGCAATCACACCGTTCCGTCCCTTTGTCCTTCAAGGGCGCAGTGGTCTAGAAGGTTGGTCGGGTCATGGTGTAAGCATTCGGGTGCAGAACCTAAGATTTGGGCGTTTAGGCTTAGGCTTGCGAATTTACTGGGTTGAGTTGGCTTGGAGGCACCCCACAGAAAAGGGAAGTTTCCTGTTGGTAGGCCGCCCGACTGAAGTTCTGAAGGTCAGATCAAACTGCGGACTTAGCCACAGACTCTCTGAAGGGTTACCCTGCGCCCTGTAAGCGCTTGTCAGAATTCTAGACCACTTATCACCCCAAGCCCTACGCCCCATATCCCTTTTGCCTTAGAACCAAAGCCCCGGAGGGAGTTCCGTGTTCCTAAACCTTAAACTCGGTGTAGAATACAACACTTAGCATAAGGTTTAGGGTTTAGGGTGGGGTAGGGGCGGGAGCGGATGTTTCGAAATCAATCTCTAGATGATCTTGATCTGATATGCCTCTGCCCAGTACAGGTGTACACGACTTAGAGTTGCAGGGTTCTTCCGCCAGTCATGTCAGTATGTCGACGGACTACTTCAGGTATCCATTAGATAAAGCGTACTGTATGGGGTCCTTTGTGCATGCTTGCTTCCGGAAGACACCTCATAAACCTGGGGACCCATAAACATCAATTACTTTGTACCCAGACTCCTGGGAGGTTAAGAAGTAGATCCCGATAAAAAATCTTATAAAGTACGCTTTCGTGGTATAGGGCTCCAAACATTTTTAGATCCTCCCTGGGGTGTGGGAAGAACCCCATGAAGGGTAAAACGGTTTGGTGGGTTAGACCTACTTGGAGGTTCCTGAGACTTAGTACCTAGGGCTACAGGTAAGGTAACGGCACTTGTAAGCATTATAGTTCCACTTAAAAACCTTATAACCCTACTGGCCAACCCCATGAAACTCCAAGTAAGCCATCCAAAGTGAGGAGTTTCTGGCTACGGGTTTGGTTTAGGCAAATATCGGCTGGGGTCTAATTCCCTTTATGGGTACCCAGTGTTAGATCTTTTGGCTTCCATGGGGTCAGAATAGGGCCTAGGGCTGCGGGGTGATGGTTGAAACAAATTGACCGTCAAGGGTAAAATGTCCAGACCCCCCACACCCGGGAGGACCTAAAAAGTAGAAACCATCACACGGTCCCCTGAAAATATTAGGCTTTCAGTGGTCTGGCTTAAGGCCCCTGAAACCTGAACGGCCAGCCTCAAAGGTGCAGCTGAAGCCGTGACAGAGCCCCTAACCCCAAAATTTCCTTCAAGGTATCTACATAGGTTCCTTTAAGGATTCCTGTAAGGAATCTATAGGGTTTCCTTTAAGGGTTCCTTGAAGGGCTCAAAAGGAAACCACGTAAAGGCCGCTGGCGGGCCGAGAGTCTCATCAGCCTCGCAAGACCGTAGGGCACCATCCCAGACCCCCCGGAGGATCCAAAAAGTAGATCCCTTAATGGGGGTTCCTGTCAAGGGTTTATTAAGGGCCCGTTAAGGGATCTATAGGGTTTTAGGGTTTAGCGTTTAGGGTAGATCCCTTAATGGGGGTTCCTATAAAGTACCCTTGGAAGTATAGGGCCCCAGATTAGGGGATCTACTTTCTAGATCCTCCCGGGGGTCGGGGACTGGGATGAGGGTTCGATAGGTTCCCGAGTACTAGCCTTTTGCCCTGGTCCTTCTTGAAACCGCATGGTGGGGAAAAGGCCACCCTTATCATAAAGGGGTTGCTCAGGAACCTGGTTCGAGAAGGCCTCCATATTTAAGAGTAGCTTAAGGTCTCGATTTGGGGAGTAGCTGAGCCTCATAGTATACAGGTCTGAAGAACTTGTATTCATACCCCTCTGTAGTCCTGATAGAACCGTGCCAGAGCAAAAACCTGCTCGAATCATAAAGCTACCGTTGTTGATGTTTGGGCTCTCTGGTGATGGGTCAAGCGCACATTCAGGGTGCAGGGTTTAGGGTTTAGCAAGAGCTTAGCCGGCCAAACTAGAAACCTCAGTAGTTGACTAGAGAACCTTTAGCCTTTGGGGTATATATATATATATATGCATATATATATATATATATATATACACATACGCATATGTACACAGCCCTATCACAAACCTAGCAGATTTTGGCGTGTCGATCCCTGGGTGGTTCGAACAGCTAGGCATGCTTCTGGCTTATTTGGGTCTAGGATTTGGGGTTTAGCGTCTAGGGTTTTAGTTTCTTTGAGTCTGCGTGCTATTTGAATGTTGTTTGAGTGCTCTCAATCCCAGAAACCCCGAAGTACACCCAGGCAACGAGCACGATGTGGTCCTCAGCTTCACCCTCAGGGCTTCGGTTTAGAGTTGATTACGGGTTGAGTTTAGTGTTTGGGGCCTTGGGGTTTTGTGGTCGGACATAGATGTCGTATACCTGGCAATAGTATCCCCTTGGAGTCCTCGTACATTCGCACTGTTTTCACCGTAATGTAGCAATTATTTTGGTTTTGGGTTGTTCCTAGGTACTATTCGGGAGACTCTTTACATACAAGATTATAAGGGGGACTCTTCTTAGCCCTATATACTAGTGGCTCTTAAAGCAGATATGTTGTTGGCCTCTAGGAGGCCAACAACGTATCCAAAGATCTCCAGGCCATGAATGCCTGCTTGAGTAAGCTAACCTGTTTCTGCGCCCTACCGTTTAGACTCAAAGCCCTGAGTCCTAAAAAATGAAACCCTGAAGCATCTGAAGCCCGAAAGCTCCAACAACTAACAGAGCGCCAGAAAACACAAAGGTTCGACTACACCCCAATCCTTCAGATCTTCAAGCTCTCCCAAGTGTTCAGGCGGACCCTAAACCCCGATAACCCACTGCGTAAGCAGTTGACACCGAAACAGGCTGCCTGAGGGTTAACCCTAGACCTGAGATCCTGCAGGCAAGTCGAAAAGAGCCTCTCACGAAACCTTAAACCGCTAAACCTTAAACCCTGAACCCCTAAACCCTAAACCCACCCCAGGGGTCCAAGTACCTAATAATCCTACACCCCCCAAAATCCTAACCTACATAACTGCTATCCTAAAACCGAGTACCTAATTATTGGGTTCTTTGGACCCTAGGGGTACCCTTATAGAGCCCTTGAAGGGACCCTTGTAGTACCCTTATGGAACTCTTAAAGCACCCTTGAAGGGACCCTTAACATTTAAACAAAAGAAACCCTACAGAACCCTTGAAGTTCCCTAAATCCTAAACCCTACAGTACCCATATAGTACCCTTATAGTACCCTTATAGAACTTTTAAAGGACCCCTGAAGGGACCTTTAAACCTAATTATGTACCCTAAGCCCGAAACCCCTTATAGATCCCTTTAAGGAACCCTATAGCTCCCTTTAAGGAGCCCCTTTTAAGGAACCCTAAGTCCCATAATCCTCCAAGTAAGGTTTCAAGATGGCGACGCAGTGGACCCGAAGAGAGCTTGATCTGAAGAGCTTGATTGGCGATCTCAGCTTGGAATCTCGGCGGTTTAGGGGTTTAGGGTTTAGGGGTTTAGGGGTTTAGGGGTTTAGGGTTTAGGGGTTTAGGGGTTTAGGGTTCAGGGTTTAGGGCTTAGGGGTGTGCCTACCCTAATATACCTTTGTATACATACATATATATATATATATATACCTGAATGGGCCCTTTAATTGCTCTATAAGGGTGCTATAAGGGTACTAGAAGGGTCCCTTTAAGGGTGCTTTAAGAGTTCTATAAGGGTCCCCGAACCCCCAAGGGTCCAAAGGACCCAATAATTCGGTACTCGGTTTTAGGATAGTAACGGATAGTAGAACCTGTTTTAAGGTTTAGGGGTTGGGGTTTAGGGCTTTTTCGAACGTCTATAAGAAAACGTAGCAAGGAACTCTAAGAAGGTAAGTTTTGCTGGGTTAAGGTAGGGTTTGGGTCTATATTTTGTTGGGCGTTCCTGAACCCCAAACCCCGAACCTTGCAAGACAGTCCACCAAACCTTACCAATACTCCAGCACAACTTTCCGTAAGGCTCTAAGGACTCATATTTTAAGGCTTTTTTTGGGCCGAAAGACCATATTATACAATTCTTTTGGCCCATTTTGAGCCTTAGGGTTTATGAAATCCATGCATTGGGTACGGCCCCCATGCAGTAAGAGTCTATAATAGGGCTATTATTAAGGTCCTACTATATCTATATTATGAATACTATTCAACTATTACTGAGTGGGGGCCGTACCCAATCCATGCAGCCCAAACTTTCGAAGGAACCAGGAGGCTGCTGCACAGTGCCCAGCATCCTGAATTCCTAAATGCTTCGGAAAAATCGGGGGTGCCTTGTTTTGGGGGGTCCTTATAATAAGGATCCTACTATTTAGGGTACCTATATCAGGGTCTACTATTTTCAGAAACTCCCAAATCATTGTCAGAAACTCCCAAATAATTCTGGCGCATCACATATCCCCGGAATGGCAAGCCCTGAACCCCTACGTTCCTAGGCTTTATTGGGTTTACTGTAGAGTATACTTGGAGGGTCGAGGGACTTAGTAAGTAGGTAGAAAGTAGATTTATAAGTACCCTAAAAGGGACCCTAATTGGGGTTATGGTACTTATAAGTCCTTAAAATAACCAGTTACTAAGTCCCCCGACCCTCCAAGTACACGCCGGCAAGGATCAGATGAGGGTCATCTTCCAGACGTTGGAAGACGCCGGAGTGCCTGCTGGGTGCTCGGAAGGACGCTGAGTTTAGGGTTTAGAGTTGGCCTTGATCCCTGGAATTTGTGGTTTTGGGTTTAACTAAATGCTACGGCGATCGACTGTTGGGACTTACTAAGGCAAGAATGTATAGCACGCACGACGCATGCTTGGTCGGCTTAGGACGTTTGTATGGTGCTCTACCCTACAGGACTTGTATAACTCTAAACCCGAAGCCTAAAGCCTAAATCCGAAACCTCTAGTGCTGAAAGCCAAGCTATGCATAGAGACGGCCTTGGTGCAGACCTTGTTGAAGAGCCTTGTAAACGGTCTTATGGGCACCGATTTACCCTGAACCCTAAACCCTCCTTAGGGTTTAGGGGTTTGGGGCTTAGGGCGCTTATTTAGGGTTTATATAGGAGCCTCAACTTAAGGGTATTTGGGGGGGATTCTGCTACTGCACTTATGGGAGCCGCAAGGCCCACTGGTTATTGGAAGGACCCATCATTGTCATAGCAACCTATCGAAGGGGCCCCCAGCCTGTAATAGTGGTAGAATAGGAATTCACTAGGGCCCTAATATAATCTTTAACAGTCACTAGTCACTATAACAGGTTGGGGGCAGCTTCTAACCTAAACCCTAAACGGAACCCTCACCCACAAGTGCAAGAAGGCCCTTTAGCCGCGTTCTCCACACCGTAAACTGAAGCTACCAGGTCAAGAAGGCCCCCCAAACCCTAAACCCCAACCCGCTGAGCCAAGAAGCCCCCCAAAACCCTAAACCCCAACCCACAAAGCCAAGAAGGTCCGAAAACCCTGAGCGCTGTACCGTAAAACGCAGCCCACAAGGTCGAGACAAGAAGGCCCAAAAGGCCAAGAAGGCCGCTATGCAAAGCCCTGAGCCCTCTTCTTGAAATCCCAAACCCCTGAGCCCTACACCCGAAACCCCTGTACCGTAAACCCTTACCCTGAGGCTCAAAATGGCCTGAAAGCCTAACATCATATGGTCTTTAGCCCCAAAAGCCTCAAAATATCAGAGTAACCCACTTAGCTACTTAGTTCTGTAGTCCCGTAAACCCTAACCCACAAGACGCAAGGTCAAGATGAGTAACCCACAAACCTTAAACCCTAAACCCTAACCCCCTAATCCCTAAACCCAGTACCCTACACCCTAACCCACGAGGTCAAGAAGGCTTGGGGCGATTACCAGAACACCTCCTTGGGCTCCGCACAGGACCCACGGTAGGATTTGGGATTTAGGGTGTTGGGTTTAGGGGTTGGGATTTAGCGTTTAAGGATTTAGGGTTTGGGATCTCGGATTCAGGGTCTCGGGTGTAGGGTTGAAGGTTTAGGATTTAGGGTTTAGGATTTAAGGGTCAGGCGTGGTTCTCACAGGATGGCTCGGGTCGGAAGACCGACGCTTGGAGGGTCGGGGGACTTAGTAAGTAGGTGGTAAGTAGACTTATAAGTACCCTAAAAGGGAAAGTAAAAGGGACCCTAATTGGGGTTATTACAAGTCTTTAACATAACCAGTTACTAAGCCCCCCGACCCTCGAAGCGGGGTCCAACGGCCAAAACGGGCTTCGGCTTCAACTTTTTGGGTTGACCTGGACCCCATAAAGCCTTCGTTTTCTAGGATGCCGTAGAACCCTTAATCCTAGGTTCCTTATAAAGTTGCCCAATACCAAAGAGGGAGCCCTTTTCATTTCTAGGTTGCTAGTCATCCTAGTTTTTAGGCAGGGCTTTGGGGCATTTGATATTCGCTCTTATTGGGCTTAAGAGGATCTTACCCGCTCATGTTTTTCAAAGGCTTTAAACGCACCTCCCAGCTTTTTAGGGTTCCCTACTTGGAGGTTCATGGGTAGTTATAAGTGGGATTATGAATGGAACTTATTACCCCAACACCCAACCTTTAAACTTTTTGGGTTGTTGTGCTCTAGCAGGAGTCGGAAAGTTTAACCTTTCATTTCTGTACCTTATTGGGGTAGCAAGTAGCAAGTAAGACCTTCCTTTTTAGGGGTCCGTAGTATGATATCGGTTATTTTGGGGTTGCGGTAGGGTTTAGGGTTCAGGGGTTTATAGGGTTCAAGACTAAGGGATTCGGTTGCTCGGAGGGCTGAGGTTTGAGGAGAGTTGTTTAGGGTTTAGGGTTTAGGGTTTAGGGTTTAGGGTTTAGGGTTTAGGGTTTAGGGTTTAGGGTGATTTGGGGTGCAGGGTTTGGGGTTTAGGGTGGGCTTGGGGGTGTTGCGCGCGCAGGGATTCCGGCTGGTTGCAAGTTGAGTATAGGTTTCAGGATCTGTAGCTGAGGATTTCGGATATATTGGATTTGGGCTGTATAGAGGTTGTAGGATTTTGGTTGAAAGATCAAGTTAAATGGTCCCCACTCCCCACCAGCCTGCAAGCCAATGCGTAAACGCTGCCTGTGAGTCGTGTTCTTTGCTTGCCTTGCAGCCTTCATGGCCAGAACTCGTCTTCTTGTAGACTCCTTACATTCGTACAGTACACTGTTTATTCCAGGACCGTGGGATATGATATAATACGTAAGTTGTAAGTAGAGTGGGCGGGGCGCCGAGAAGCCTTATCTTGAACCTGATCCCTGAACTTATCCTCAAACCCCGAACCCTAAACTCTAAAGAATATACCCAGCACCGCCAAAACAGTGTCTTCCAAGGTTCGATGTGCACCAGTAATGAGAATCTTCCTGAGCCCTGAGCAACCTAGGGTCTATAGAGTTTACGAGTTCCCCAATGTGATTCCCCCATCTGGGTGCATTTGTGGTTTGGGATGTCTCCTCGGACCCAGAGTAGCCCCTTATTCCTTTTTTTAGGGTTTATATTCCATTATAGCACCCTTTAAACCAAAAGGGCACCCTTGTTTATTCCTAGGTTACTGTTAGGTCTAGGGGATGTCTCAAACTGTAGGTGATGAATTTGGAAGGCAGCCGAGAATTGAGCGGTTGCAGCCTGAGGACAGCCTTGACCCCGCAACCTGCAAAGCCTCAACACCTAATCCGCAGAGCACCAAACTCCAAATCCCAAACCCTTAAGAACCAAAAAGCCCGACCCCCCCAAAATTCCAAAACCTACCAGGATGTTCACAACTTGAATCGGGAGACGCACCCTCTCGGCAGTAGAGGTATCGGGAGCCTTGCGTTGGGAAGTGGTAGGGTCTGGGTTAGTCGCATCGCTGGCGAATAACTTTCATGTCAAAGGAGAGGGGCTTTCTTTTTATCGAGGGGTTTACATTCATTAGTTGTGCTTTCGGGCTTGAGGGTGGTGCAGAGTCCTAGGGTCTAGGGGTGTGCATGTTCCCCCCTTCAAACTACTGTTAGTACGAAGTTACCTCAGGCGACCATTGGTCATACTAAGGAACCCCACAAGTTTTTTCGGCCGCCTTATGTTGACTTCAAGTTCCTCCCAGAACCCCGGGGATCCAAAAAGCCCAAAGTAGGTAGTGTGTAAAGACTTCAAACCCCAAATGTAGGTGCGTGCTGTTTGTATACTTGGAGTCTTGGGGGAAGTTAACTTGTTCAGGGTTCCCTGTGATGAGATTTCGAGCTTCGGGTGTAAGGCTCGGGGTGCAGTCAGGGCACGGGGCTGTGGGTTTGGGTTTTGGGCTCAGTAGTTTAGGTTCAGTCAGGTGGGATATAGCCTTCGAAGTTTAGTTACGGTTTGGGCATCGGTTTTTCCTGTTAACGTCAGTGGGTGAGAGTGAGAGTAAACGTATTTGTGCAGGATTCGCATTGCACGGGCTTGGACGTTCAGGACTTGGTTTCGTCTTCGCTATTGCTGCAGGTCGACTATAGAGACGTTTTTGTTCAGTCAGCTTTCCTTTCCCGTCATGCATGTATGTAGTTCCTCGAAGCCCTAAACCGCATAATTAGGCTTTGTCTTGAAATGGGGCGGCGAAGTCGTTCCGATCCTTTCGAGGAGGCTTCTCAGAAGGCTCGGCTTCCTGAATCCACAGTTGGCGCATCCTTTATAGAATTCCATAAGGGTACTATAAGGGTCCCTTTAAGGGTTCTTTAAGAGTTCTATAAGGGTGCCCCAAGGGTCCAAAGGACCCAATACTTAGGTACTCGGTTTTGGGATAGTAGGTATGTAGGTCAGGAGTTCGGAGAGTATATGATTATCAGGTACTTGGACCCTTAGGGTTAGCAGCACAGTCAATGTCCCAGACCCCCCGGCCCCATAGAGTCGAACACCTCGTTGGGATTGAGACCTTGTGCGACTAAAGGGTAACTAACAGGAAACCAACTAAGGGATCTGTTTTCTAGATCCTCGCTAGGGTCGGAATGATTGCATGTGATATAGGTACGTTTTTGTATAACAGGGTATGACACACCCCAACAGCCCTGGTCTCAGGACCAAGGCCCAAAAATTATTTCTGCAGCTGGTCACTGGATTATGGATCCTCTGGGATTCCGGCTGTTACGAGGAACCTTGCGAACCCTAAACCTTACATGTGCATCCAAAAACCTACCGCTTTTAGGGTTAGACCCTCTAATTATGGGGGGTCACAGGTAAACCCTAAATAGTACGATCCTTCTGAAATGAGCCCCCGCAAGGTGCCGTTGACGTTCTCCTAAATTGCAGCCTTGGCTTCGGCCGACGACCTAAAAACCGCTTGGCCACATAAGAGATAGGCAAAAGCAAACAACGCCTCATCGCTCGAAAATTGTTCCATCGCCTGCCCGTGCCCAGGCTGATTACCCTGACCAAGACCTACATGAGGACAGGAGTGCCCCGGCCGATATTTTGGGTGTCGGGCTCTGGGGATTAGAGTCTGATTAGAGGATTTATGATTTGATTTTCGGGGTCGGGATACGATAGGAACCCTTAGGGGGGGTAGGGGGGTAGCTGGCCCTCTAATATCGGGGGCCTGAATAATTAGACTGAGGTTTTCGGTTATGTTGTGCTCTAAGTATATTTATATCAGGAACCCCGAAAAGGTATCGATCATAATTTTGGACCCTATAACTTATATTATAGTCCTACGTCTTCGTGTTCCTCGACAAGTACTGTTGCTACTTCTGCTGCTACAAGTTCCAGGAATACGCTTAGTGATCTGGGGCTACTAGTATCTACCCAAAGGGTCCAAAGTACCTATATAGTAGAATATAGGGTTTCTATATAAGGAATTACTATTATGATTTGGGGAAGTATCACCCATAACACTACATAGGACCCTCTGGGCTAGTACTTGTTGTTTTCTGTGCTTTGACAAATCCAGTGGTCACCTGTACAAGCGCAGCATGCCACAGTCCAAGCGTCGTGCTGATTGCCTGGTCCTTGCCGTGGACTTGCTGGAGCAATGCGGGCAACCCGTACCCCAAGGGTCCAAGTACCCAATAGTCGTATACTCTCCGAAATCCTAACCAACATAGCTACGAATTATCCTAAACCAAGTACTATTTGTTGGATTCTTTGGACTCTTGGGGCTATAAGCCCTAACCTCTGTTTGCAAACCCTAAGCCCTAAGCCCCGTTTACACACCTTAAAAGCCCAAACCCCAAACCCCATCTGGGCGGTTGTCAAAAAAGGGTACCTTTTTGGGTCCCTATTATAGTACGGCACCTTTTATTTAGGGTACCCAACCAGGGACCCTAATTTTGACAACCACCTATTTGTAAGCCCTAAGCTCTCAGCAGTCCTTTGCTTGACAGTGACCGCCTGTCTGCAGCTGCCTAGAGACCCCAAAACCCGTTTTACTTGAAGGAACATATAATTTAAAGGGCTCCTTCACGGGATCTTTAAAGGGGTCCCTAAGGGTTCTATAAGGAATCAACTTCAGTTTAGATTCGCAGGGATCCTACCAAAATCAAGGTATAGCTAGTAAGTATTATCATCAGTTAGGGGATTTGTTCAAGATTTGGGTGGCCAAATTATTGAATTGCATCGCATCAGCAACCCGGGACCACGCCTGCCAAGCACAGTTTTGGTCTGCGCGCTTCTGCCCCTTAAACCGCCAAATCCTCGTGTGCCGTCTATAGAGCTGCAACTTCAACTAAACCCGAAACCCTAAACTAAGCTGTGCCTGGGCCCCGAGAGCCCCCTAATTACCATTCCCAAAGCTTCCTAGGTACTGTTATGGGGGATACTTCCCTAAATTAATATGTGGATCCCAAAACCTGCCGTTTTTAGGGCTAGACCGTCTAATTAAGGGGGTCATAACCCACTTTTGGTAGGGTTTGGGGTCACAGGAATTCCTAATATAGAAACCCCTCAGTCTACAATATAGATACTTTGGACCCCTTGGGATTTCATGTGCGTATAGAACATGAGGAACTCATCATGCATACGGAACCCCCCTAAACGGTAGTTTATCTACTTTTCGGGTAGCACCCCAAAAGATGGCGATCTATAAACTTCGACCCTCCTGTAAGTAGAAGCCAGAAAGTTGGAACATAATTGTCCTCATACTCTTAAGGTAAAGTATTAGGGATCCTAGCACTAATCCTCCAAAAGCCATGTTCCAACTTCCTGGCTTCTACTATACCCCAGGTCCAAGAAGTAAGGCCACTGCACCGAAGCCTTGTAATAACACTTATGCTTGGGAACCGAAAATTTACTCTTATTCGTAGGTGCCTTATACCTTTATACCGTCATACAATTATTCCCGGTATGGTAAGGAATGTATAGTCGTTTAGGGTTTAGGGTTTAGGGTTGTATAGTACGAACTACAACCTTTTAGTGTCCCTTCGTCCCGAAGGATAGGTCCATGCGAAACTTACCCAAAAGGGTCCAAGTACCACTATAGTAGGCTCTTAGTAGATTTTTTTGGCCCCGACAGAATATACCATATTGTGGCTTGGTTCCTTTGGCATATAGATTCCTGCCACCATTCCTAAAGCTTCAAGCCCAGACCCTGAATTGTACCCTTACTTAAGTTGACTTTAACCCCTAAGCACTGAACACTTATAGTATGGATCCCTTTGAAAGGAGCCGTCGCTGAAACCTCAACTCTAAGCCCTAAGCACTCCAAAACATGGTATCCGTCATTTCCAGACCTTTAAACCCGAACCCCTAAACCCTAAACCCAAAGCCCCCTAAACCTAAAGTCCCCTAAACCCGTAGACCCCTAAACCCAAAGACCCCTAAACCTAAAGACCCCTAAACCCAAAGACCCCTAAACCTAAAGACCCCTAAACCCAAGGACCCTAAACCCTAAGACCCCTAAACCCAAAGACTCTAAACCCATTGCCCCAGGCTCCGGATGGCAAACCAGTCTCCTTCCTCACGGCTGATCAGGTGTCTCAGCTCCTTGGCTTGCTCGGAAGTCTCTGAGAGTTTCAGGATTTGGGGGTTTAGGGCTTCAGGATACAAGGTTTGAGCACATTTATGTTGAAAGGTTGCGCAGATACAGACGACTTAGCATATAGTAGAAGCCCAAAAGTTGGAAACCCAATAGCCCCAGTCCTTAAGAGTAATGTATAGGGAATCCCAGCACGATTTGCCCTTAATTAGGTTTCCAACTTTTTGGAGTTTACAATAACAATTAGATCTGAAAGCTGTGAGACGGCCGAGCGGTAGATTTTTGTGCATTCCGGGTTTCTGGAAGGTGCACACCCCCAGAACTCCCAAATCCATTGTATGCTCTGAAGCACACTGTACAGTAGAAGCCAGAAAGTTGGAATATGGTTTCATGGTAGGATCCCCTATAATTTGCCTTAAAGGGGTTAGGATAATCATATTCCAACTTTCTGGCTTCTACTGTAGAGGGAACTGGCAACATGATTCCAAAACATACTAGACCCTAAGCCCGAAACGCCTTGTTGCGCTTTTGCCGCAAGCCAAGGTAGTGAGAAAAACCCTAAACGCTACACCCTGAACCCTCAAAGGCACATGCCCTTGATGCAAAATCCTAAGGGTCCAAGTAGTCTTTATTTATTGTTTTTGATAATTACCTAAAAAGCCCCTCATGTCCCCTACTAGGGAGTACTTGGACCCTCTGGGAAACGATTTCGAGTTTCCGGGCATTCAGAGGCTTACTGGGATGTTCCGGGAGTTGAGAGCTTCCAGACCCTAAACGGGAGCTTTCGACAATGAGCGGTACCTTTCTTTTCGACGTCCTTGTAACAAGGATCTTACTATTTAGGGTGCTAGATTAAGGTTTAAGGTTTTCGGAAACTCCCTAACCCTAAACCTTGAATCCGGAGCCTTAAACCTTAGACAGTGCCTGAATCCGACCTACCTGTCTAAGGACAGCTATAGGGAAATCATACTAAGGAGACCTAAACGGGTAGGTTCTGTGGGGTCCAGGTAAATCCTACGCTAGGGTTTCTTGATAGCTGAGGAATCGTCGCTTGTCTGGGTTTTGGGCAGTTAGGTTCTCGGGTGTAGTATTTAAGCGGTCTCTTCCTTACATTATAAAGGGCTTCATATGACTACTATAAAGGGCTTCAGATGAATGTTGTCGAAGGATGCTTGCTGATCCAGGGCATTTGGAAGGCTCTGGGTACTTCCCTCCTTAGCCAGATCTGCAACACAGGTGTAAGCTGACGCTGTTTAGCGCTTTCTGTAATTTCAGGTTATCCAAAATCTCCAGCTTCGCAGGGCCCGACTATCATCTGCGACGGTACATATGTTTCCCGTCATCCCCCCATCTGCAGCTATCTCGGGTGTACTCTTAGAGTAGATATACCCGGTACAGAAGTACCATGACCCTCCAAGTAGTGGTTGGCTGGTTGGTGTCGTGGCATGATCTTACATGGTGCATTCTCCTTTTTTTCGATCCTTCTGCTAACCCTACGTACGCTACTTATTATGGACCTTATGTGAAACCCTGGTGGTAACCCTTATACCACTCCTTTATAAAGGCCCCTTTCATCACGCCTTCTCTCTAAAGGGTCCATGTACGCAGCTAGTATATACTTTGGCCTCAAGGCATTCCTTATATAGATAAACTGGGCCCAAAGTATATCCTATTTGGTACATGGATCCGTAGGGTCTGCTAATCTTGGGTTTAGACAAGGCCCCAACACCCCAACCTCCCCCCGCACACATCCAAGCCGGAGTACGTAGCTACCCTGTCAAAAAGAAAGCTTGGCGGGCCAAACCTTACCCTAAGGGTCCTAATACTTTAGGGAACCTCAAAATGTAGGAATTCTGAGACCCCAAAGAGACCCAAGGGCTCTCCTTAGGAGATTCCGGACCCTCCCCATCCTGAAACGCTCGACCCAAAGCCCTAAACGACATGGACGTCTAAGTCGCCTCTTGCGGAACCTCTTCGCGCCACTTGTTCTGAAGATTGTTGATCAGAATGTGTTGCCTTTTAAGCTTTAGGGGCTTATATATTTGAGGTTGGGGATAATTCAAGATTTGGGGTTTCGGGTATTGTAGAATTTGTAGAGTACCATCACCAAAAGGTCTGGGGGTTTAGGGCTCTACGAGCTCGGGCCCACTTGATTCGTCACGGGCTTACCCCAAAACACTTATGTACACATGTACTATCCAGTTTAGCCGGAAGGAAATTACCCCAAGGGTCCAAAGGACCCTATAATTAGGTACACGGTTTTATGATAGTAGTTATGTAGGTTAGAATTGTGGAGAGTATACGATCCTAGTGTATTTGAACCCTGAACAGTGGACGGGGCAAGTGACGAAGTGGAATACGGCGGCCCTGGCGACCCAGGAAATAGGGATGTCAGCGTATCCTGCGGACAAGTGCGAGCCATACCCTAAACCCTAAACCCTAAACAAACGTGGGGGAAAGCCTGAGTGGAGACATTAAGCCAAATTCGAGTTTAGTTACGGGGTGTTCAGGTCTAAGGGCATAGAACAGTGAGGGCAGGGTTCCCCCCCAGGTCCAAAGGACCCAATAACTAGGTACTCGCTTTTAGGACAGGAGTAATGTTAGTAAGTTAGGATCTTGGAGGGTATATGAATATTAGGCACTTGGACCCTTGGGGTTGGGGTTGTAAATTGCAGCAGTCGTAAGAGCACCGGCAGAGCCAACAAGAACTGATGTCTAAGTGAGGAGCCCGGTGGTGTTTATAGGGTCCTTAAGGGATGGTGGTCCAGGGGGGGAGGGTACACGGGATCCTTAGGGAACCTGAAGGGAACCTTAGGGAGCACTAGAGAGAACTAGGGATTAGTAGGTTATCTACCCCCTTGAAACCCCACCCCATAAGAACACTCTAAGGTGTTATGTTCTTGCTGCCTGTTGCATGCATGCAGCCTGCCGATGCCTTCCTGTCAAAATGAGAGTACCAGAGGTCCAGGATAATTATGAGCTGCCCTAAACCCCAAAACCCTACGAAATCAGGCCGAAACCCCAAGTATAAACCCCTAATCTCGAGAGAATGAACCCTAAACCCCTAAACCCTACACAGCACCCTCCTTATACAGAGCTGCCAACAAAGAACCCCCCCCGGAGTCCGATACCTCCAAAGGTTCGTTGCGCAAACTTTTCTCTAAGCTGCGGAGCTCTGCCGAATGCTCGTTTAGCGGATCTTTTGACCCCTAAAAAGCCATAATTGTTGAGGGCTTCGGGTTAAAGAAGCCCGAATCATTCGTAGGACCCAGAAAAGCCACAATTGCGTAGTTTTTCGGGTTATAGAAGCCCGAATGATTCGTAGCATTCTTTGCTCTTCCCCGGGGTTGTTTACCACAATTATACTACAAGACACCCCTAGTTTAGGGACCCAAAAAGCACAGAAGCATGCGCATTTTATAGAGATATTCCTACCCCGTTGGGCTTCATTATAAGGGGGTTTATATGGGATATCCCTATCCTAATTTTGCTTATGTGCTGTTTTTGGGCCCTACTAGTAATATTATCCAGGCCCCTATAGTACTACAATAGTCTGTTGGGCAATTTTGAGTCCTAAGGTTCGTTTTCACCCTAAGCGCTAGACCCCGAACCCTGAACCCTAAACAGACTCCCCTCAAGTGCTTCAAATCCTTGACCATTTGGCATTGCATCGACACGTTCCTGCATTGAACATGGCGCCGAAGGGATACGTCATCTACTCCCAAGATCTCGATCCCCTGGTGGTGACCCCCGGAACTCGGCGGAAGGCGATCGACTCTGGAATCCCAGCCTTCATGTTCTCCGAGAACGATCTCAGCAAGTCCGAGACACAGAAGTACAAAGTCGACTGGTCTAGGCTTCAGAACAAGCTAGGATCGAAAGGAATTGCCATTGCTCGAGCCATTAAGGAAGAGGACCTGGCACTGGGTCTTCCGAAGTTGACGTCGACTGAGAAGTCTGAACGGACAAGTTCAAGCTCAAGGAAGAGTAAGAAGAGCAAAAAGAGCAAGAAGGCGGGCGATTCGGAGCATTCCGACGATGAGAAGGATGATTCTCAGAAGCCCAGAAGCGGAAAAGGGGACAGCTCTTCGGCAAAAGACAAAAAAGCAACAGATTCCTGGTAACATGTGCTCACTGATCATCCCTCTACAACAAGATGGAGGGTGTACTTTTTGCAAGCAGCTGTTGAGGTGTATTGGACTATGGGTGCAAGCTTTGCTTATCTACTATGGTGGTTGCTTGCCAAGTATGAGCTGAGGTTGTGCACAGATGTACCCCAGCTTGTGCTCGCTCGGTCCCTCCTTGTGGATTGGTTGGTACAGGTTCAGGGTTAGTGCTTGTTTTACAGGGTTGGGACCAGAGGCTCCTCCAACTATGGAATTTCGGATGTTCAGGCAGACGGAAAAGAGCCCACAAAAAAAAAAACAGACTCCCCTAGACCTTAAACCCCTAAGCCCGGTATTCCGGCTGTAGCAGGGAGGAAAAGGGCCCTCAACAAAAAAAACCTAAGCCCTAAGTAAATCCCTAAGCCTCTACGGGCCTTGAGCTTGAGTTCCTCTGAGGCGTTGCAGCGGCCGGCCCATCTGGTATAAGGCATATCGGAGTAGGGAGTACCTGGGTGTAGGGTGTATACTTAAAGGATCATGGGACTTAGTAGCTAGAGTTATAAATAAGGTATCTATACTTACAACTCCAATTAGGGTTCTTATAACCTTACTAAATCCCATGATCCTCCATAGGGTTTGTATAGGACCTAGAGCCTTTAACCACCCTTGAATATACCCTAAATGCACACAAGCTTTGTTAAAGTGCACTCTTGCGGGGGTCCTGGTAGGCGGTGCAGGTTTTGCTGGAGTGGGGATATAGGTACCTACAACGGTTCTTAGAGTAAGGAGTTTTCAGGGGTTTAGGGGGTAGGTTTGGTTTTGCTGTGCCATCGTTGTTTCATCAGTTGCTTCGACAGGGTTTTCTGGTGTAGTGTTCCAGCACAGTCAGTGCAGTACTGCCACATATGGGTCCTTCACAATGCGCCTCCAGTGAAGTGCAGCGCATGTAGTCTTCGCAAAATCCGCAGGTTTTGTTCGCTAAATACTAAACACGAAACCCCACGCCAACGCCTCAATACATCTTGGGAGGCAATTCCCCAAACCCCCAACCCTATGACTGTGCCCGTAACTGCAATTTCAACTTCCAGGCTCTGCAATATAGGTGGTTGGCAAAATGATGGCTCCGTTTCGGGTACGCAGAGTATTAGGTGCCGTGTTTTGTTATGGACCTTCAAAAGGACCATTATCTTGACAACCACCCATATAGAAGCCCAAACTAAGTATTAACACTGGTTGCTGTGAGTTTCTGATTATTAGCGTCTATCAGTTACATACCCCAAGACCGTATTCCCAGTAGTAATCCGCCTGGCGTCTTGCTTTCTTTCAGCGGGCCCCACAAGAGGTTTCAGGCTGGGGAGCCTAGAGCCTTTGTAAGGCATTCAAAAAGTGAGCATGCATAAGTGAATCCCCCTTGAATCCTAGATCATGCTACATGCATGCCTGGCAGCTGTGCGGTTGCGTAGAGTACAAAAGCCACTGCGAGGTGCAATCCCATGCCCGTGTGCCTATCTATACATTCTGGCGTCCGGCAACTTGGTGAGATAAACCGATCCAGGCCCTAGTCTATTCCCAAAGGCTCCATGTATCTTTATAGTAGATACTTAGGCCTTAAAGAGTCCCTAGATAGGTACTTTAAGGCCTAAGTATCTACTATAACGGTACATGGAGCCTTAGGGATTGATTATGGCCCCTACATTGTAGTTCCCTTGTAGATGTATCGTAGATACGGCCCCTATTTTAGTAACCTGATAGATTTATCGTAGCACTTATAGACCACTTGAAAAGGAGCCCCATATTATTATAGTATCCTTATAGTATCCTTATAGATCCTTACAGTAGCCCATACAGACCCCTTTAAAAAGGAGCCCTAGTCTATGAAGGCCCGAGGGTCCGAACCGAGGGCTCGAGCAGTATTTTTTCGTCCCGAATACTATCCTGTGGATGGTTTTGGGTTTAGGGCTTAGGGTTTCAGGGTGTAGGGTGTTTAGGTTTTTGGGGTTGGGGTTTAGGGTTTGGGGTGTAGGGTGTTTAGGCTGTTTAGGGTGTAGGGTTGGGGTTGAGGGTTTAGGGTTCAGGAAACCCTGCCGCAGGGCACTTAGAACGCTACCGAAACCTACCACTTCAATACTTCCCGAAAACCCTAGAGCACCAGTCAGCGCACTTCCTAACTTCGAAACCCGGAACCCTAAAAACCCTTAAGTCCACACCCTAGACCCTAAACCTCATTATTGAGAAAGCCCTGAACCCCAAGCCTTAAACCTAAAAGTTCAATCCCCAAACCCCAAACCTTTTCATTCGAAGCTCAAAAAACCCATCATCGAGTATAGGGAACCCCCCCCTCTGAAACAAAGAGAGCACTGAAGATCCAAATGCGTACTTGGAGGGTCTTTAGGGGACTTAGTAGGGTCTCCTTTAAAGGGGATGATAAGGGCTCCTTTAAAGGGCTCTATTAGGGTACTATAGGGTTTAGGGTTCAGGGACTTAGTAAGTAGGTAGTAAGTAGACTTCTAAGTACCCCAAAAGGGACCCTAATCGCGGTTCTGGTACTTAGAAGTCCCTAAAATATCCAGTTACTAAGTCCCCCGACCCTCCAAGTAGGCATCAGGGTTCGGAAAGCCTCCTAGATCCGAGTTCTGGAGCTGAACTACAGGGGCCGAAATGGGAGTTTCCGAAAATTAGGGGTGCCTTATTTCGGGGTCCTTATAAAAAGGATCCTACTATTTAGGGTACTATATTAGGGTCCCCTGTTCTCGGAAACCCCCAAATAGTTACCAATACTATTTTGGGAGATTCCTTATTTTTGCTGCAGCATAATGGGCACCAAAGCCCCATTCTAATTATTAACGCCCCTACATTATACGTTTTGAGGGTATGTGTCCCAGGCCCCAAACCTACGATTTCACTGTCACGGACGGCAAAAGCCCCATATCCTGAACCCCGAGCCACATCTAGCCCAACGTAGGCGCCTCAATTTGGGAGTCTTGAAAACGAGGGCTACCTTATTCTGGGGTCCTTGCAATAAGGATCCTACTATTTAGGGTACTATATTAGGGTCTCCTGTTTGCGGAAACTCTCATTTCAGTGCAACCTCAGGGTTTTACGGTTTAACTTCTACCATCACCGACAAAAAGGTAGGATGCCTCATCGGCTTGCTGCAGTGTTTGGGCCATCATATCGAGAACTTCCACTGTTATATCTATATATATATCTACAAATGTATATATATATATATATACATAAACACCATAGAGGGACCATCGGGCCTCGTTTAAGCTTGTTTTCAAACTTCTGCCCTAAACGCCAAACCTTAAACACTAAACACTCAACCCTAAGCTAGACCCTGACCTAAAAGCCTGTTTCAACATATCTATTTGAGGACAGCTCCGCGTGGATCAGCCCAGCCTTGCCTGCAGGCAACTTGACAGAGGATGCTGCTTAAAGGTGCATGGCACTTCGTAGCTAGGGTTCCTTAAAGGGTTCGACAGGGCGTTTATGCAGATTTACAGGTTGAAGGTTCAAGGTACTTAATTAGTAACTAGGGCTTCTTTTAAGGGTACTATAATGCTCTGTAACAGGGTTCCCTTTTCAGAGTTCCCTTTTCAGAGTTTAGGGTTCGGCGTTTAAGGTTCATGGTGTTAGTTTAACCACAGTTGCGGTACTTGTAACTGTACACCCGAAGCCCCAAAAACCTCCAAGTGGTGGCATACGAGTTTCTCTGTAGGGCTTGAGGCTTCCATAGGGTTTTAGTAGGGTGTGGGAGTACTTATTAAAGCGATCACTACAAGTCGATCCTATAGCATCTTGTAATTCACATGATCTACCCTAATCACATCCCTATCGAGAAGGAGCTACTCGACAAATGACATTCCATTGTGTCTTCTTGATGATTTTCACAAAGGTTTTCACCGGATGACAAGATAATAATCAACAAGCCTGGCGAGATTACAACATTCTAAACCCTGAATCCTATAGCCCCTAAACCCTAAGCCCTGAAATCCCTAAACCCTAAACCATCCCTAAACCCTAAACCCTATGTAAACCCTCCCTAAACCCTAAACGCTAAGCCCAAACCCCAAACCCTAAACCCCCAACCCGAAACGCAAAGTGCCCTAGGGTTTCATCGATAGCCTCGATGCTCCCTTCATAGGGACCCCGAGGGGTGTAGGGGGGAGGGGTGTAGGGGACTATATTTCCTTAAATAGGCCTTATTAGTCCTTATTATGGGCCTTAAGGCCCCCTACCCCCCCTCCCCCTACACCCCTAAGGATCCCTATGATCCCTGGAGTTCCTCTAGAAGCTGACACCCTAAGGATCCAAGTACCAAATCTCCCTGGAGTTTCCGAAAAGTAGGGGGTACCGTCAAAGGGATCCTCTAAGGGTTCCTATAAGGGTTCTATAAAGGGTTTAGGGTTTAGAGTTCCCCAAAATTAGGGGTACCTTATTTCGGGGTCCTTATCATAAGGATCCTACTCTTTAGGGTACTATATTAGAGTCCCCTATTGTCGGAAACTCCCATATATTTTCCCAAATATTACCCTACATAACTACGTTACTATCCTACACCCAAGTACCTGATGATTGGGTCCTTCGGACCCCTGGGGACAGTACGTCGCAAGCCCCAGGCACTGAGCTCATGCTGTCGCAGTGGGACGATGATTGGCTGCGGGCTTCTTGCTGGAAGAAGAATGACTTCACCCCTCTTATAAGGAATCCAGACAGTAGCTTCGAGGGTATAGACTTTAGGGTCTGGGTTTTTCGGCCTCCTTGCAGGTCCGGGTAATTGTTGGGATCGCATGCGGAATGCCACACTGAGCTAGCTCAACAAAGACTTGCTCTTCTTCCACGCATGTCAGTCCCTATACAAGTACCCTATACACCCCACTATGCAGCGTTTTGTTTGTTTTTTCTTTCGATACCTTTGACCTGCCTCACATAAGGCTTCGGGTGGATTAGGATCCCACCTGAAAAGATTCAAAGAAACCTAAAAGGCTAAGGGGGTTGAAACAGTAAGATCTGTGAAAATAAGCTTGATTGCAGAAAGCAATCCCTACGCACGGTTGTAGTCTGAGTCTAAGCGTCGTCGGTTTTTATCTGGCGCCCCCCCCCCCCCCCTAAGGTAAATGTAGTGGCAGCTAACCCGGCAAAGTCGGATTTTGGAAGAATTAGACCGGCTCTAGAAAGCCGTATGGCCAAAGCGCAAAACCCCAACCCCCAACTCAAAACCCTAAGCCCCAAACCCCCATGACCATCGGGCCACACCCCCAACCCAGGTACTACCTAGTCGTCGAGTAGGTAACCTTTAACCTTTTTGGGGTAGTAATAGTCCCTATAGAATCCCTGAATAACCCAAAAGGTTAACCTTTAGTTCCCCATGATACCCGACAAGTAGGACTACAGACACCGGCATATTCGACAATAGAGTTCCTTAGCGCTCCTTCAGGTCCTTAGAGTCTGATTTTATCCTCTATGGACCTTATGTCAAACCCTGGAAGTACCTTAGCCCCAAATAACCTACCTTTTTAGGGTTTTAAAGAAATCCTATTAGGGCGCCCTAAAAAGGTAGGTTCCTTAGGGTCCAGGTAACCCTTATACTACTCCTTTCAAGGCCCCTTACATCACCCCATATTCTGACCATTCGCCGTGATTAGCCAATGAGTCCCTCACGTTCAGGTCATCGCTGCAGAAGAGGAGGAGGATCGGTACATTCCTTCAAGGCCGGCTTTCTTCAGAATTGAAGATTTATAGGGTTTGGGGTTTAGGGATTTGGCGTATATGAACAGAAGGTTTTGGGGGTGTACCAGGACCCACAAAGTGCCTTTTATAGGGTTTGATGGTACTTCATCGTGCTTTTGGGTTCAGGGTTTGGGGTATCTCATGCGATAGTTATAAGGTGCCATGAGGAATTCTATTGGTAATTCTTCAGGTTTCTAACACCGGGTTCTTGCTTCACTAGTTTAGACCTTGTGGGACCAGTTGGCTTGTAGGCAGGTCCAGGCCCAAACAGGGACCCTAATCTAGAGAACTACCCATATAGTGGTTTTTGTCGTGCAGACAGACAGACGGACAAACAGAGACAGAGACAGCCGATGGAGAAGCTTTGGCTTTGCATGTGCATAGGGTCTGTTTGCATAGAAACTATTCAAGCTGTGCGGGTACATCTTTGACTTGCCCGATATGATACTTCTCCTGAACAGTAAGCTCAAGCTTCGAAGCTGGCTCAGGTACATTCGAACTGCAGCGCTGCAGAATGTCGGTGATGTCACCTGCTGGCAGCTTCAGCCTTGTACTGCAAGTGTAAGAGTCCCTTCAGGTACGTTGTTGTTGCTAATACCTCGGTCGTTCCGTCTTCAGAGTGTAATTGGGCTTCTTGTAAGGTGTAGACGCATAGCAGTGGCATAAATCGCGAAGGCATCACTGATGGTGGTAGCATGCCACACGTAGTAATGTAGTAAACACGCCCGAACTGTCTAGTGCGGGTGCCACCAAAAACATACTCAATTGTGCTGAGGGTATGCTCTTTGCTTGCAGTGTGGTTTTGGAGGATCTGGGAGTAGTGGCTCATCGCGGGGCACTGCAAAAGCCTATGATGCTGGCAAGAGTCCCCGTATCAGGCATACTCACTCAAGATCTTTCTGACTCTCCGGGCCTTCGTTCCCCAATCCTATCGAACGAGACTTTTGTTAGAGCAGCCTTTGGCCCTGGTTTTTTGTAACCTGTTTGGGTGACTATAGTCCCTATATAGTAGGGTTTGGGGTTTAGGGTTCAAGGTTATAGTCCCAAAGGTTAATCTCTAGTTCCCCTTGGGAACTGGACCAGTAAGTAGACATGTTTGAAGCTGTACCATTCGAACGATCTCTCCTTGTAGGGGCTTGGGTTTTGGATTTCAGGGGCTCAGGTTGAAATGCTCAGTATTTCCAGGATTATTATACATATGTATATCTATATATGTATGTATATATGATGTTTATGTTTTATGGTATGTGTATATATATATATACATATATATATATACATATATATAATGCAAGTAAACTGTATATATAGGGTATTAAGCATATACTATATACCCCTGTTGGACACCGTTGGTGAACATCTGATCAGGTGATACACTGAGGTCTTTAGCGCATTGGGCATGTGGATACACCCGTTCGGACCTGTTTGGTAGCTGTGGTGAACATCTTATCAGGTGATCCAGACTGCGTTGCAGACGTCGATGGCGAATTCCAAAAAGCTGCGCCCGGATCAAGTGGATGCTTGGTACCTTGAAGGTTTGGAAAACCTGACATCGATAATTAGCAGCCATATCTTCAACCAACAACATGTCCGAGATCCTGAGCCCTCAACTGCAATTGTCGTTACCGGATGTTGTAGGAGATCTTATTCGTACATTGTTTCTGACTTTTGGACCCTTACGAGGGTCTAGGGTTCGAGACTCAGTACATCAACTCCTGATGTCTGATTGGCCTTTGTCTGGGGGAAGGCTAAGTGATTCAATTAATTAAAGGTACCATCATAGGGATCTATAGTAAATACCAGTGTTTCGTTTTTATGGCAACTCAAACTAAATCCCTTCACAAGAACCCAGTTGTTCTGGGGTTGAGATCTTGGGTTGCTCTACAGTAGAAGCCAAAAAGGTTGGAAACCCCATAGCCAAATCCTTAAGAGTAATGTATAGGGAATCCCTGCACTATTTGGCCTTAATCGGGTTTCCAACTTTATGGGGTTTCACTGCGCAGTGTTTGGGGTACGTCTTTGGACGAGCTGGAACTGATACACTCCAAGCTGCTACCCTAAACCTTAGGGATACTTAGAACGATTTTTAATTTTTGGTTACTAAATGTCCCTAAGAAACAGCTAACAATAAAGTTTTTGCTACGGGTCTAGGTTCAGTATAGAAACCCTAAAACGGCTTCTTTACAAAACTCTTGGAGCCTTAGTCTCTTCTAATCTTGCCTGCGTGGTGTACGCAGAATTTCTTCAGAGTTGTGCTTGAGTGGCACTTGTAGCTTTACCTGGGCACGTAGAAGAGCTGCACGAAGGTTAAGGAGCCGAACAGAAACCCTAACCCTAAACCCTAAGTAGGTATAGGAGATCAGGCTTGCTTGTCCATGTTCCTATGCGGTGTATGCGATCTTAGGGCAATACAGATACGCGTATACATTTATGATATAGTACGTGGTTGTATATATGTATATACGCACATACCTGTATACATATACATATGTATACACTTGCGAGCACTGCGATACGCTTTTATCGGCTTTAGACGGTAGGCTCTAGACTACATGCTCCATCTCAATACTGTAGATACGCTATAAACACGAACATATCCGTATATATATATATACATATACACACACACTGATTTATTATGTATACATACGTACATACATGGATGTATATATGTACGTATGCATGTAGATGCGCTAGTTACTTGTTTCGATGTATGTATGTATATATATATATATAGGTAGATACACACTGTATATGCGTATAATTTGTATCTATGTGTTTGTTTGTGCATTCGTTTATTTCTACAGTATATTATGGATACGCGGCGGCGTCAGGTCGTGGGTTCGGTTTCAGGATTTGGTGCTTACGCGTGGGATCCGAGCTCGGAGTGCACATACCCAGACCCTCGGAAGGATCCAAAAAGTAGATCCCCGAATGGGGTTCCTATAAAGTACCCTTAGTAGTATAGGGCCCCCAAATTAGGGGATCTACTTTCTAGATCCTCCCGGGGGTTTGAGTAGAAACCTCGTACTGGACCCTGAAGTTTTCTCGTGTCTGTTTCGTGTACGTTTGGGATTGCAGCCTTCTTGAACTTATCGAAGTGTACTTTGTGTGGTGTTAGTTGATGTGAAGCCGTCAGCCGTCGTACAAGGGCTCCCCGATACGCAAACAGGAGAGACTGTGGCTTTTTAGCAGCCTGCATGCTTTCGGTCATGAATAGACAATAGGTTTTGGGGACCCTAAACCTATTCTAATCATTAAGCCCAAGGGTTCATGTCCTCAAATAGTATATACCTTGGCCCTAAAGCACCAATATCAGAACTAAGTTTGCGTTAAGGCCAAAGCATATGCTATTTGGGCACATGGACCCTTAGGGCAATGCATCGATATGGGAGTTTCCGAAAATAGGGGATCCTAACATAATACGCAAAATAGTAGGATCCTTATTAATTATCAGGACCCCTAAATCAGGTACGCCTAATCTTCCGGAAACCCCCATATGGCAGAGGCCTAGCGAAGTTCATGGCCGAAACAACAATTGTGGGTTTCAGTGAGGAGCCGCGAGACTCTCCGCAATCTCAACCCTAAACCTTAAACCCAACCTGGACCCCAAAAGCATGTAGAATAATTACCTTTTATAGGTGTTGGGCCATGATTACACCTATTTTGGAGGGTTCGGGAAGGAATATGATTTGAAAAGTAACAGGACCCCTATTATGAGTTAAGGTATGTCCCTTAATAAGGGATGTTGGGGCCTCTTGGAGCCCTGGACAAGATTCGGTTTACAGGGTTTAGGGTTTTAGGTTATAGGCTTCGTAACTTAGGGTTTAGAGTTGCCGTGTCCGCTGGTTGTAATAGCCCGAAGAAGACCATAATGGAATACTAGATACTCCAAATATTAGGATCCTTCTTGTATGACGGATTGTCAGAAACAGACATAAGCAGGATTCTGTTTTGCTGTAGTTCAGAAAGTTCGAAACCTGAGGAGAACATCCTGCGGAAAGCATCGTCTGACACACTCCGATGTTGGGCCGCCTACATCAAATCCGCAACCGCCTGAGATTCACTGGAATTCACTGCGCTGTGTTCTTCGGAAGTTCAGTCCACATGCGGTAATATAACCCGAAACTCTTCCTTGGAATCCAGATATGTCCCCAGGTCGGACTTTCCCAGGCTGAGTTACACAGGGGATTTTTCCTGACGGCTTCCCTGGACCCTATGAAACTTTCCGTTTTAGCGCTCAGTTCGAGCTTTATGGCTTGCAAAACCCTAGACTCTAACCCTACTGTTGATGATATAAATCCTGCATTACTTTAAGGACCCTAAACTATGGGAATTATGGTATATTCCTATTTTGGGTCATGCAGGATTTATATCATCAACCCTATCACCCTGAACCGTTAGTTCCCTTAGCTTTTTCAATGGAGGGTTTTCTGGGTCTGAGGCTTCGAACTCAGGATTGAAGGTTAGGTTTCATAACTGGAACCCCGGGCTCCAGTTATAGGAGGGTTTAGGGTTTAGGGTTCAGGGTTTAGGGTTTAGGGTTTAGGGTTTAGGGTTTAGGTTTCATATAAGATCCGGTGTTTCCTAAACGCGAAACCCCTTGAAGGGCTCAATATGATCTGAAGACCATCGATGCCATAGCCTAGGTTGGATTTTGGGGACATTTTTTTATTTTCCTTATTTGGGTTTATAAGGGGCCCTACATATAAATACGGTTGATGATATAAATCCTGCATTACCCATAATAAGGAATATACAATAATTCTCATAGTTTAGGGTCCTGAAGGTAATGCAAGATTTATATCACCGACAGTATTTTTCAGGGTGTTTAAAGGCCAACCCAGTAGCCCCTGAACTTGGAACCCTGGCCTCCAGTTATAGGAGGGTTTAGGGTTCAGGGTTTAGGGTTTAGACTTTAGTTAAAAGCCAGAAAGTTGGAATATGATTATCCTAAGCCCTTTTATGGTAAGTTAGAGGGTATCCTACCCTGAAGCCATATTATTCCAACTTTCTGGAGTTCCCTGTAGGTTACTTACTGTAAACCATGTGCTTTTCGAATGTGGCAGCCCATGACTTAGGGCCCAAAGGTCCAAGTACCATAGTAGGTACTGAGAAGAAATTCTGGGCCCCAACAATTTAGGTAACTGCCCTCGGAAATCCGTATCCTTCCAAAGTGCGACACCGAGCGCCAGGACAGAAGGGTCCAAGGGACTCAACAGGTTCATGCCGCGGGTTCTGGAAGGGTTTGGTGTAACCCCAAAACTACAATGGAGACTACAGGTAGTGAGCGGAGACTGCGGGTCGAAGTTTCCAAACCTTGCTCCAACTCGTCAGCCCAAGCCGAACCTTACGTCGAACCCTAAACCCCAAACCCCTGAACCCCTAAACTCCTCAACCCCTAAACGCCCACCCTAAACCCCTATAAACAATAAACCCTAGCTTGCCTCTTTCTGTTACTGGAGGCCCATCGAACCCTTGGCCCTAAATCTCGCCGATGTGCTCTTCCCACCGGATGCAAAAGTGGGGTCATTGCTCCTTCTTCATAGTCCAAAGCCAACTTTTCAATTTAGTGTCATATCTCTAGAGTTCTACAGGATTCAAGGCTTAATGTTTCACTTCAATGACCATACGCCATACCTTATCATGTGAGGTAGTCGTATTCTGAGAGTTTAGAACTTTTCAACCCATGGGTATTCCCGAAGCCATATAATATATCCCCCACCTGTACCCTGTAAGACTTTCCTATTTTCAGGGCTTCTATAAGTCAAAGCAGGGTGCAAGTTGGGGTTTCATGACGGAAGATTGAGGGCTTCGAAAACCCTAAACCCTAAACCGCATAATTCGGAAGCCCGAAGCCCCAAAGCCTACCGTAACCCCCTAACAGCATAGCGTTTTGGCTTAGGATTGTCTCACGGGCCCTCGGTTGTTTTATAATAGGGTCACACAAGGATTCTGAAGGGGGCTACAGGGGTTCTGGAAGGGTGCTAGAACAGTTCTGCAAGAGTTTAAAGTTCATCCAAATTTCCTCAACCTTGGGCATCATAATCGCCCAAAAGCCTTGCATAGTATGGTCTTTGGGCCGAAAGGCCTTAATATGCGAGTCCTTAGATGCCTTGGGGATAGGAGCCAAAATTACTACCAACACTATTTGTTGGGTGGTTCTTATTATAGTTACAGTATAATATACCCCAAAACACCTAAGAAGGAAGGCGTTTTAATGACTGTATTTGGAGGGTCGTGGGACTTAGTAAGTAGGTAGTAAGTAGACTTAGAAGTACCCTAAAAGGGACCCTAATTGGGGTTATGGTACTTATAAGTCCCTAAAATAACCAGTTACTAAGTCCCCCGACCCTCCAAGTAGATCCCCATTCTGGTAAGAAGCCTTGGATCTTCTGTTAGGTTTTCGGGCTCAGGGCCTCTATGGGAGTTTCCGAAATTAGGGGTACCTTGAAAGGGATCCTCTAACCAGGACCCTCCTTGTACCCTCAAACAGGGGTATATGGTCCCCAACAATGGGTACTTAGGGTCTAATGGAGGGTAGATGGAGGGTCTGGGTAAGGGTTCCTTTAAGGGTTCTATAAAGGGTTTGGGGTTTAGAGTCTCCGAAAACTAGCGGTACCTTATTTTGGAGTCCTTTTAGTAAGGATCCTACTATTTAGGGTACTACATTAAGGTCCCCGAGTGTGTGAAACTCCCATCATATGGTTCCTAGACCCTAGAACCTAAACCTAAACCCTAACCCCTAAACCCTAAACCCTAACTCTAGCGTTTCCGAAACCCCTGTCGCAGCCTCAGGCGAAGCCTGCCCTCATGCATGAGGTCATCAGAGAAGCCTGGAGGCCGTTTAGGGTTTGGGGTTTGGGGGTTTAGGAGTTTAGGGTTTAGGAGTTTAGGGTTTAGGGGGTTTAGGGGTTTAGGGTTTAGGGTTACCCCCCAACTACCCTCTAATATACCCCAAATACCCACTATTAAGGGCCATCAGGGCTCCATTAAAGGGCCATTGAAAGGTCCTGGCAGGGTTCACGGTTTAGTATTATAGTAGAATAGAGGGCAGGCGACAATATCTTGCGACAAGGCGGTGTCGAGCTCATCAGGGCAGGGCACAGGGCGCAGGCCACAGGGCAAGGGCACAGGGCACACGGCACAGAGCAGCAGGGCAGCAGGAAGCAGGGCGCATGCGCAGACGACTTGGAGTTTGTGAATACTCGTCAGTAGCAACATCTTGAATTCCAGGAGCTTTAATTTGCTATTCTACCCAAAGCTTTCATCGATTGCGCGGCTGCAGGACCGAGAATGAGCGTGCTGCTTATGCCGATACCTCCCGGCAGAACAACGTCCTGGGCCCGGGTCCCAGCCGAACGGCAATACATGGCTTTAATGGTCAGTCAGAGTGTTTGGCGGGTAATTAAGAAACCCTGGGCCTGTAATCCCAAAAATAGTAGGATTCATAATATAGGGACCCCTAATGAAAATCCAAGGTTTCTTAATCAGGTTTCTACATTAGTGTTTTTTTCTGAGAGGGGGGGTGTACTGCACACAAAGGGACTACCATGATTAGCTGTTGCTGTTCAGGGGTCGGTGTGAGAAGTCGGGCTAGCGCAACATCCTCGTCTAAATAATACTCCAAGGCTCTAAGGACCCATTCCCAAAGGGTCCTAGGTACTGTTACGGGGGATACTTCCCTAAATCATAGTAGTAACTCCTAATATGAGAACTCTACATTCTACTATACAGGTACTTTGGACCCCTTGGGATTAAACCCTAAACCCTAAATCCTAAACCCTAAACCCTAAACACTTGATCTTAAAGGGGATCCATTAGAGGCTCTTGAAGATTCCTCTCAGGGGATCTATAACCCTAAGGCTCCAAGGACTCTTATGGGAGTTTCCGAAAATAGGGGATCCCATTAAAGTACCCTAAATAGTAGGATCCTTATTCTCAGGACCCCAGAATAAGGTACCCCAATTTTCGGAAATTCCCATATATCAAGGCTTTTGGGCCCAAAGACCACGCTATGTAAGGCTTTTGGGTCATTTTGAGCCTTAGGGATACCTTAAGGATCCGGGTACTCAAACAGTATATACCTTGGCGCTAAAGTACCTAGATCTAGAGATTACGCCAAAGCAAAATTGTAGGATTCACAAAAGGAGCCCTCACGAAGGCCCAAGGTTCTTTTAATCAGGTTGCTTCACTGTTCGCAGCCAGCTAAAACGGACCCTGCAGAGTATTCTGGCTGGGACCTACAAGTCTCCACTCAAATAGGGAGCACAAGAATTAGTAGCCTCTTCCTTATGTAAGGGCTCTCCCGTTATAAGTAGAACAAGACCGACCCACATCATACTCTAATTGTAAAGCCTCTCTAGCAAGATATTTGAGATCCCCGATCGTACTGTTTGGGGCCCGCGAACATCTACAGAGCCCAATAAGAAACTCCTAGATCCAACCCTTCCGAGCAGTGAGGGGCCCTTCATAGTTAGGACTATAACAGGATTCCTACAAAGGGTTCCTGACAGGGGTCTGCAAGGGATGCACTGTCATACTTATAATAGGATTTGCGGTGTATATTCTTGTATCGCAAGCATGCAAGGATAAAGCAGCTGAGTATACAGGCCCTTATGCCTGAGGCCTCACAGTGCAAGCAACAAAGTCAAGACTGCAGTGCAGGGTGTAAGGGTTGTTGATTTCAAGCTTGAAGGCAATTGAACGGGTCAGAGGTAGCTTGGAAGGTCAGGTCTACGGGCAGGAACTTGCCAGATAGCAGCCGTGCATAAAGCCTCAAATTCCTAAATTCCAAATCTTAAGTCCTGGCCCCAAACCCAAGTCCTCTACACTTTAACCTAAGCCCCTCAAACGTCAACCCTCCGAATTCCTAAGCCTGAAATCCTACCAAACTCCATAGACGGAGCACGTCAAAGACCTTCACGCACGAGTTCCTGTAAGATGTTCATGGAACTCTTACGGGACTTACACCCTGAGCCATAGAACCCTAAACCCTGAACCCTTAAACCCTGAGCCATAGAACCCTACCTTGTAGAACCCGCAAAATCTCGAGCTGCGAAGGACCGAGTCGGGCCCTCTCGGAAGTTGATGGCTTTGAGGCACGATTGAGGGCTTAACCTACAACTTACTCTGGGGTTTAGGGTTTAGGGTGGCTTTGAGGCGCACTTGAGGGTTTGATCTAGGTGCCTGACGTATTGCTAGTACTACTTTCAAAGTACAACTGTTCCTTAGGATTCCTTCTTGTATGCCAAGGAGATATCTCCAAAACCTATTCTAAGGCCCCCCTAAACCCTAGAGAGTGCAACGCCCTGGTGGCGTGTATTTCTCGGTAATTTAGAGGTTTTCACACGAGTTTATGCACCCAGAATATTAAGCGTTGTGTTGCCTCATCCAGGCATGCATCCTTGATTTTGAGTCTTGGGCATGTCACGAAGTAGGAGTTTGTTGGGGAAGAGGGAGGAGGTTTGCCATCCAGCATCTCCATTGAAGTTGAGGTGCGTGATCTGGCATATCATGTCAAAATCATTAAGAATCCATCACAACCCCTGGGTGTCTATCCACATATGCATCTGGCTTTAATGGATGCGTGTTTATGGAAATGTGTATATTTACATGTGCATACGAATGCTGACCTGTAACTTAATGTATATATCATGTCTTCAACTAGGGATTGAAATTGTGGCGTGGGCTGCAACATAAAAGCGACTGTATTGACAGGCAGACCGTCATCGATGTGTATATACAACCGCATCTGAAGCCGTGGCTACACTTATAAAGCTCTGAGGGGTTTGCCACCTTTGAAGGTTTGCTACCCCGTCATCTACTATTGAAGCCTTGGATTGAGAGTGCAATATCTTCTAGTCTGCCTGTATTTGGGAAAACAGTCATCGATTTGAGGATCCAGTTGTGGTTCCGCCACTCATCGAACTTCTACGGGGGTTTGGCTCATTACATCCATGCGCGGCACTGCGTTTCAGCCGAATGTCTTCCAGTAGAGTTTGGATGCTCTGGACACACGTCATCGTTTTCGGTACTCAGGTTCGCTACACACTATATATCTTTCGTGGATAAGTGTAGCCCGTGATATGTACTAAAGTGTTCAGACTCTGGTTTTTATTCTGGTGGTCTCCCAGCATCCCCTAATGTGATTTGCATTTCTGGCTGGGTGGGCCACACCTTTTAAGGATTAGCTTACGGTGTAATAGGGCATGTTAATCAGTTATTCTATTGAAGACCTGTTGTTCGCCATCATCCACCCACTTCCATGTAAATCCCAAAGACAATGTAATTACCCATTTCCGTGATGCACACAAAGTTATATGTGTGTGTATGCATGTATACATGTGTCATCCACCCATAATATGCTTGCAAGGTTCCAATTTACATCGTGTGTGCAACTGCAGCGTGGCCTTGCGGTTACATACCCAGGTACTTGCATGTATATCGCAAAAAAACCTATCTATATGTGCATATTTATATAGAGATAGATTTATGCATATACATGTGTGTGCGCGTGCATGGGCTTCCAAAGTTCACGAACTTGTATATGGTTGCATAGGCTTCGAGAGTGCATGAACTTGTATACGTGCATATCTATGCATATATATATATGTACACACACATATATTACATGTATATGTAGATGTATATATGTACAGGTGTGGAGGACGTGCTTCCACACAGATTTGAAATTCCGCATCCTGTACCCACCATGCCCTTTCGGGGTTTGGGATAGGAGCCTGCGGCCCTCCATTTTCCTTTCAGTGCATGGCTGCCTAAATGCCTCATTGTTGCATACACATATGCTCGCTTATTTCAGAAATATTGCACATGTTTCCGTGATACTTATGTATGTACGTATATACCCGTGTATGTACATATGTATTAAGCATATATGTATGTGTGCATAAGGATGGGAAAAGCATGAACATGGAAACAGCATGAGCATGTGTGTATGTAAGCTTACACATCCATATGCAGGTGTGTATGCATGCCTTCATGTCATATACCAACATGCATACACAGACGTGTATATAGATACATACATATATATGTTGGTACAAACATCTATATACCAAGGTTGGCTTCCAGGTAACTATATATGTTCCGCCTCAAATGTAACAAGGATATTGTAGCTTGCAATTTTTACTGCATTGTCTAAGTTTCTGGGTGAGGGTCCAATATCTTCTACAGTCTAAGGTTTTGGGTTCGCCACCCAGCATCTCTTGAGACGGTTAGGACCATCATATGCATTTGGGTTCGAGGCCCAATAACTCCTTCTGAACTTGGGTCCCGGTACAAGGATCTTATTCCCATCATACTTTTACTGTGTAGAATGAATTACCCATCATACTTCTGTCACAGTTTTCAGGTGTTGGAGCCGCTTTCCTAGGTGGTGGACAACACTAGCAAGCGTAAAGTCTTGACAGAGGGATGTTTCATTGGACAGGACAGGATTGGTGGCATACTGGAAACCTTGAAATGATTGAGCAACGCTGGATTGGGAGTGCCAAAGGCCGAAGGCTCCAGGCATCCTCTGCTTACAGACATGCGCCCTCCGGATGGCCCCTGGGGGCCGGGCGCCAAAAAAAAAAAAAAAAAAAATTGGCCAGAGATTTTGCACACAAGATTTTTTTTTTCTTTTTTTTTTGGCGCCCCCCCCCCCCAGGGCTCCAGGGCTCCAGGCCTCCATACTCCAAGGCCTAGAGGCCTAGAGCCACACCTTAAGGCCATGCCCTTATGTCCTTGAAAGTTTGTCCCATAACTTTATCTCTCTCGGACCGGTGTTCGGTTATGCCCGAACATTTTCAAATGGTTTGGTGGAATTTGTTGTCAATTCAGAACACGTCGTAAAATGTTGTATGCTGCAAAAACAATGTTGCGGGAAACGAAGAGCTTGCTGAGCTTGCCATCTGAGAGTGCAAGTGAAAACACGAACACACGAAAAAGCACGCCACCAGGGCGTGATGTTCTGAAACCCTACCCCCCAAACATCTTTCGTTGATTCTTTGATCCCCATTAAACCCTAATCTCTAAATTTCAAGCTCTAAACCCTAAACCCTGGACCTGAAAACCTAAACTCAAAAATCCCAAAACCTAAACCCTAAAACCCTTGACCCCAAACCCTAAAACCCTAAATCCTAAATATAGTAGCCTTATAGATCCCTTTAAAGATCCCTTGAAGATCAAACTTCAGAGCCTCCGACCCGTGAGGTCCCGATTGGCTTCTTCTCAAAGAAGTGCGTCAGGTCCGATTTGTGCACGGGGTTTAGGGTTTACTCTACTTGGAGGATCATGGGACTTAGTAAGTAAGGTTATAAGTACCCTAATTGGAGTTATAAGTATAGTTACCTTATTTATAACCCTAGTTACTAAGTCCCATGATCCTCCAAGTAGACCCTAAACCCTGAATCATTATAGACCCCTCATAGAACCCCTTTAAAAAAGGGGCACCTTAAGGAACCCTTTAAAGGAACCTTCAGTCCCATGATCCTTCAAGTAAGGCTCCTAAGAGGGTCTTGGGCTTTCTGGGGAAGGGTTTCGGCCTTGGGAGCTGCTTGGAGGGTCGGGGGACTGAGTTTAAGGACTTATAAGTACCATAACCCCAATTAGGGTCCCTTTTAAGGTACTTACAAGTCTACTTACTACCTACTTACTAAGTCCCTAAACCCCTTAGAACCTATAGTACCCCTATAGAGCCCTTTAAAGGAGCCCTTAGAATCCCCTTTAAAGGAGCCCCCTGCTTACTAAGTCCCCCGACCCTCCAAGTAGGGTTCGGGATCTCACTATAATTGTCCGGGAGCCTTGATGTTTAGAGTTTACTTAGAGGCTCATACCTTACCCCCTTTTTTAGGTTTCCCACTTGTTTATAGAGCAGATCCTAACTAAAGAACCAGGTACCCTAAAACAGAGGTTATGGTATGAGCCTATAGGTAGGTTGTGATTAGGTCTCGAGGGTAGCCAGGCTCCCTCAACCTGATATTGCTTAGGCTTCAGGGTTTAGGGTTTTCAGGGTTTAGTCCAGTGGTTAAGCTTTAGGGTTTTGGGCCATGACCAAAGACGCGGAACGCGCATCCAAACCAAACACGTTCCACAACCGCAAGCATCGCCGGAAAGCAGAAGCCCCAAGCCAAGCTATATTATGTATATGTGCATTGTAGGGTGTTGTAGTATCGTATCTTTTCACATTGTGTAAAGTGCATGATCTGGCAGTGTACGCAGTTTAGCACATGAATTAATTAGTTAACAGTGTAACATATCATAAATGTTGTGTTATGTTGGGCTGTTCTGGCATGGTATTTTAATGTGCAATACAGCCTACTATTATGTTATAGTTCATCATGTTGAGTTGTGCTCTTTGTTTACTATTGTTTGCTTTACCATGTTATACATAGGTTGCTAACGTATGACTGGTATTAGAATATATTAGACTATAGCATGTTGCAATGTATCTATCTTTGCTCCACGATATCCTGATGCGTTATGTGTTGTTGTAATATGTTTCGTTTAGTACATCATGCCGTAATTATACTAAAACTTAAAATGTGCCTCAATTTGTTACATTGTATGTCATTAAGTATACTTCGTCATTCTTATCTCATCTCACCATATTTTTACTATAGTATTCCATTACAGATGTTGCTACTGTGCTATACTTTATACTTTTTAAGTATGTGTACATGTGAACGAATGTTTATGATTAAACACTTAGACCAGGCATGTTTCGGTGGCTCCATATATCATATGGGAAGCCTGAGA